GTGCAGGACCAGGCAGTGTTTTGTTCTGCTGTGCATAGGGACGCAATAGGTCAGAACTGACTCGATGGCACAAGGTTTTTACTTTAAGAAAATTAATTTTTACTACAAAATCATGGAAACCTTTTTTAAACCAAGTATCAAAATGTGAAGTTAGTTGATGTTTCCGATCTGTAATTGCTCCTCTACGAATTCTGCATTCCTTGGTTTATACCACTTCAAAACAGCACTTTGGACAAGAGAGACCCAACTATTATTCCTTTGGGATCTCATTAGGAAACAAGAAGAAATCCACAGGGGAAAAGTACAGCAATAGTGTTGATGGAGTAAGGTTTCCAAACCATCTCTCACGTTACATAAACAGAAACCCCATCTTCTCAACTTCACTTTCTCCTACACACTCCATCACTCGAATCCTATCGGGATCTCTAAACCTCATCCATTTCCTTTACCAAGATTCACTCACAATCCTGAATGAGTTTTATCTGTTTTAACCATGTTGACAGCATGGGTTGCCTTCTATAAGCTCCTAATGTCTAGTATTAAGTATTTTGTTGATTATAACTAGTCAAAATTTCAGTCATTATTTTGCCCATTTTTCAAGGAAGCTCTAAGGTTCGATTCTATAGTTGAATAATTATAAACTGTTAATATTTTGGTTATTTTTCCTTCTTTCCCAGTCGACATCCCATTTAGACTACTTTGCTAGATGAAACCAGGAAACACATTCCCAAAGAAATGTTCCTCCTCTCAGTCTGGAGTCAAAAACATGCATGTCAAAAGCTTGACTCTAACATGTTAGCATTTCCAAGCACATAAGCTGGTTTTGTTTTTTGGGAAAATTAAGTTATTTATTATGCTGCATGATTTAGGCCCATTTCTATAGTTAGTGTGAATTACAAAAAATTAAATGTCTTCAGTCCATTCTTAGTTCATAATTCTTTAAATTGTGTTTACGTAGTAAAAATCCCCTACATATTCTGTTCTTCTGGCTTTCAACAATGAACTCATTTATCTTGGGGTGGAAAAGCTATCCTAACTACTGAACCAATGACTACAGATGGGGCATTGCACACCCATCCTAAAAGCTCTGGAAGTCAAAGGATAATGTCAGCAGGAACGATTCCAATAAATGTGTAGCAGGCAAATGCAATGATAAAAATCAAGCTGGTTTTATGAAAATAAGAACTACCAGACAGGCAGTGAAGATCATGACCAAAAATCTTGTCATCCACTCCCTTTTCTTTCCTTACAAGATTTCCCCTATGGACCTCCAATGTGCTCAGAGAACGTTTACTCCACATCGACCCTCTTGTGAATCAGATGAGATCAGTTTTAAAACATGTTAATTTCATGGTGCATTCAAGCTTTTTTTTTTTTAAATCAAGACTTTTGTTCCTATTGAACTGTTTCATTCCGCTCTGAGGGCTCTTTCCTTGGTAGCGGGGCAGTGAAAACGACGGACCGAGCTTCCAACAAACACTGGTCCCAGACACAGAACAAACTGTGAGGATGGCCCAGAGTACGTGTTCCTTCTGTTGGACATCAGGTCGTTATGAGTCACGACAGATTAGATGGCATTTCACATAGCTTCTTCCCAATGAATTTCCTTGTTTTCCTCAAAACATTGACTGCATTCGCATCAGTAAGTACTTAAATAGAAAAGTCTCAGAGAATTTCAAAACCTCCTGCCCCATTCCCTCAAGTAAGACAATTCTATGGAGTCTGTTCTTATCTCATCCAAAACTGTGCAGTTAATGACAGGGATTAGAGACACCTGCTTAAAGTAAAGGAAATGCCTATTTCTAAAGCTATCTGCTGGACAGCCCGAGCTCGTCCATGGATTTCTCTGTAAAAGACAATGGATGTGTGGTTTTGAAAAGAGAAAAAACAGAAAATTTATTCAAAATCCCAAATAGAAAGTGTCCATTATTTAATGTATTTAAAATACATTTGAATAGTAAAATAGTAAAGGTGGGGGGAGGGGGAATGGGTGGTCTAAGCTTAATATTAATCCCATTATTCTTCCTTCTCAGATGTAAAAAATTCTCACAAGCTACAGAGAAAAAAGAACTCCTTAATCTGAATCAGATGCTCCAATGAGAACCACTTACAGCCTAAAAAGTTCCCATCCATTTCTGAGAATCCCTATAAACCTGGTTAAGAGAAAGCTTTTTGTATCCGTCAACCACATTTGTCAATTCCTATGTTTTCAGCCAAATTCCAGGTGTGCTTGAAGTAACGAAGCTCACACCTAGGGTCACTAAGGGCTAACAAAGCTAAGTGCAGTCTTCTGTCCCAAAGCTTCTAAAAATCATATGGACATTGTAACCCCACGCCCACCCCCCCAAAAATCCCACCTAACGAGTAGCAAGTCATCTAACTCATAGGCACCCTATAGTGCAAAGTCAAACTGCCCTTGTGACTGAGGCTGTATTTACAGAATGAAGGCTTTCTCCCATGGAGTGAGCATCAAGGCTAGTGGAGAATCACCCTCCAATGCAGAACCACACCACCAAGTCTCCAACTGCAGACTTATAGCTCCTTAATGAGAATACAAAGCCTGACATGATAGCACACTTTACTCTCTGCTAAATAGGAAACCTTGAATTAGAAATGCTTTAAAAGACACAGCAAATTTTAATACCATTTAAAACATTAAGCTGAACCCCTTACACTCCCCTAAAAGTTCAGAAATAGCAAATTATGTCACTAAAAAATGTGTTGTATATTTACAGACAGGGATGACTTTCATCTCATATTATTCCCAATATGCTTCCCGATTAATCTTGGACCCATGAAAGAGACACAAACACACACACACAAACACACACACCACCCCCACCCCTGGCATTGAGTAGATCAGGGGTGATTAATACGTCGATCAGGATCTACTAGTCGATAGCAAATGTAGTGTGGGTAGATGGCATGGCATTAAAAAAAATAGACGTAAGCCCATCATCAATCTTGTCACTTAAATGATATACAGCGCAGCGCATCAGATGCAATCTTAGGTGTCCCATGCATACACAAACAACTGCACTAAGTGCAGCAAAACTGACAAAGTAATCACGAATTTTTAGACCTTGGGTTTTTTTCTCTTAAACGTAAAAAAGGGTATTGAAATGAGTGGGGGAGCTGGACCAAGTAAGACTACAAAAACGTTATCACTTTCATACAGAATGGGTGATTTTGCCACTACAAGCCGACGCTCAGCTAAAGTCCGTTCAGCTAAAGTCCGGAGTGCACGAACAGTTCTGGAACTTACTCACAGAGGGAAAGTACCCAAACATGAGAAAATGTGCTGCCTCCGAGACTGCATTATTCAGCTCTACTTATTTATGTGAGTCAGCCTTTACCCACATAACAGATATTAAACCCAAGTACCGTTGCACCATGACTGATGATCATTTGGAAGTGTTTGAGGCTGGCTGTCAGCAGTTACTGTCCAGACTATGCATCCCTGGCTCATTCCATTCAGTGCAAATCATCAGAGTAAACTCAGGCAATGTCAAAACAATGTACATCGTTAATTGGGTTGTTTTGTGCAATATGGACTCGTGGTTATACAAGGTGCACATACTGTATGCATAGAGAATTCTCAATGCATTTATAAATAAATGTAATAAAAATGTTTTGCATTTTTGTAGTTGGTAAATCATTTTGACTTGATCAATTATAAGTAGCTCACATGCTGAAAAAGTGTGAGCACCCCTGAGTAGGCTGACTCATTGCAACCCTAAAGCACAGGGTTAACACCACTACATGTGGGTTTGCAGTGACTGAATCTTTACCAAAGTAGAAAACTTTGTCTTTCTCCAATGGAATAGCTGATGATTTCAAACTGCTACCTTGCTCAAAGGTAAGCACTGTGCTACCAGAGCTCTTTTCATTGGTCTTAAGGCCCTATTAATATCCAGTCAATGAACACACCGGATATTGTGTTTAGTCATGATTAAATGCATGCACTTGGAGGTATTAAGACATCGTGGGTTAAAGCTTCACTGTTAGCAGTTAAGTGTCTGCAATCCAGGATAAATGGTTCTGGCCTTGGGTTCCCCGTTCCCATAGGGAAGTTATGAGGATGAAAGACAACAGTACATAAAAGCACAAAAGTCATTCTTATGTTGTAAGTCCACAATATGATTCATAACAGTTATTACCTATTCCAGAAAAATATTAATATTACTACCAGCTATATAGTAACTGCTTACATCAAAAAGTACTTTTATTGATGCCTATTCTTCACTCTAAGAAAATGAAAACCTAACCTGAACTCATGTACCAAAATTCCCAGTGAAATATCTTACTATATCATCAACTATTTTATATTGATTAAAGGCAATATTGAAACTACAACCCAGCCATTTAAATATCCAATTTTCCTGTTTCCTTTCTAACAGACTACGTAAAATCTGAAACTAAAAAACAAATAGATTAAAATGAAACTACTCAGGGATACAGGGAAAAAACTATTCTAAAAAGTGGTAATAATATGAAACCAGGCAAATAAAGTTTATCTTTTAGTGTGACGATCCTGTTTCTCATACCATTCCCACAAATCATATGGCACTGTATGAAAACATTCAGATACCCCCAAAGGTTTGCATGTTCAACTTAATAATACTTCAAATCTCAGATGGTCAGAAAGAAGATTAAATGAAAATTCTCCCATCAATGGTTTCCTGGGGTGACAATACTATGTAACTATTCTAATTGTTAAGAGGGACTGACAGTTTTTAACTTTTAAAATATGGAAACTAAGTCTAAGTAGTTTAGATTTTAAAGTCTTTTATGAAACAAAAACTTAGGCAAAATAGCAACATAATACAATTACTTGACATCAGTTCTTACATTGAAAATAGAAATATGCTTTCAACATCATTGACACAGGTTGCTTTTAGAAGGCAAAATGGGATTCTGAAAATTCTAAACATATAACATTCAATAATGTCTATTAACATTTAAACTTGCAAACAGACAAAAACAAAAACCAAGAAGGGTCATCTTTACGAATTTATTTTATACAAAACAGTAGCAATGTAGAATATGGGAATCTTCCACTGCCACACATAAGCTGTGAGAACATTTCAAGCCAATGTATACAGTTTGGAGGGGAAGGCTAAACAATAGCATCTCATGCTACCAAACATAAGATTTTTATAATATTCGAAATGGTTCAAAATTAGATAGCAATGTCTTCTTAATATTGCTTTCATCATTGAAGACTAAACCAAAACAAAAAGTGACGTTATACGTATTTAAAAGGGGGGTGTGGGAGAAGAAACTGAGAGGCTGCTACAACACTGCCATACAGCCAAACCATATGTCCTATTTGCATACTTGATAGCAGCATTATTTTACTGAACCGTGTGCAACTACATGTAGAAACACAAAGCAAAATGTCATGGCAGTTATCATTTAAGATCCCAAAGAATGAAAATAAACAATAACCCTACGTTGAACTCACTATAAGTAGATGAACATTTATGGAGAAAGACTCAGTATCTACATTCTTGGACTGTTCCATTTTGCCCCAGTAAGTGTCAACAGGCAGTTGTCAACTGTGCATTGTTGGCAGGCTTTAAATTTTTCCAGTTCTTATTATACCGCATGCTTGGAACAAAGGGGATCATAATAAATCCTTCTACACAATGAACTTTAAGTAGACAGCTGAAAATAAATTTACTACTTGTAAACACACACCCAAAAAAACCCAAAAAAACAAAAACTTTTTTGTTTGTTTTATCTTTAAACCATCATTGCTTCCCAGAGCGCATTATCTTCGATATCGACCTCTCTCCCCTCGGTCTCTGTCCCGATCACATAATCGCTCTCTTTCTCTTTCTCTGTCTCGCCCTCTCTCTCTCTCTCTGTCTCTTCTGTTATCTCTGGGGCGGTCTCGCTCTCGTTCCCGATCTCTTTCACGGGGTCTACTTCTCCGGCCACTGACAACCGCTTGTGTGCGACGAAGAAAATCATCCACTCTCATATCATAATCATGCTAGAAAGGGGAAGAAATAGGTTAGAGATCTCAAAACTGTCCATTGGAATTTGAGTACCATTTATGTTATTTGATAGAAAGAAATCTAGAGAAATGGGGATATTAAATCAGAATAATAATCCTACAATTGCTTAGAAAATGTATTTTGATGTTTCATTCATCAGACAACAGGAGTGCTCAAAATAGCACTAAAAATTAACTTCAATCGCGAGGCTTCCTACTTAACTTTCAGGGGTTTCCCCATCCAATCCCTTTAATTAAATGAATCCATTCGTGCTGTTCTCCAATAGGAGGACCCAACTGTTTTCCTTCCATGGATTCTATAAACTAATCTGAACCAACTTCACCTTCACCCCCTGATGGTAAAATATGGAATTTTTGTGTTCTCGGTCTTTCAAAAAAACAATACAGAGTTTTATGAAAATGTAAGAAAATGTGTACTTCGGTATGACTACTCTATTTTGGACAAAGCTTTCTATCCTGAGTTCTTCCACCACTTGTCTGCCAGTCTGCCCTACTGTGAGTGGCTTGCATGTTGCTGTGATCCTGGAAGGTGTGACACTAGTATTTAAAATATGAGCAAGGTCACATAAATGAAAAGGTTCTAGCACAGCTTCAAGACTAAGCACAGATTATCAAGAAAGAATAGTAATAGGCTTTTCTACTTCTAAGGAATGGGCCACTGAAAACCTTTAGATAGAATCGAAACTGTGTTCAATACAGAAAATCTCATGAATGGAAGCAGAAAATTGTCTGAGACAGTACCAGAAGCTAAGTCCCTCAGGTGGAATTCAAAAATTGCATCAAATCAATACCAATTTTAATGATTCAATAGGACTAGGGAGAACTGTCCCTCTGACTTTGAAACTCTAAATCTTTAAGGGAGTAGAAAGACCTTGAAGTTAGCAGCCCAATGCATAACCACTAAAACACACTCCCCTCAGGTAAAAAGGGCTCCCCTCAGGTAAAAAGGCACTGAAATGACCGAGGAAGAGCTGCCTTCTCAAAGTAGAGTTGACCACAATGATGCAAAGGGAGTAAATCCCGCAGGAGTAAAGTCCATGGAACATTCATTTACTGATGGGGCTCCACTGAAAATGAGAAAAAATGACAAAGTATGAACCTAGGTAAGTTGGAATGCATAAAGATCAATATTCTAGGTGCTAAGTGAACTGAAGTGGACCGATACTGATCATGTTGAATAAAAAATATGGTTTACAGTACCAGGAAAGGCAGATTCAAGAAAGTATTTTCAAGATCTATCTTGAAGTACAATGCTGTCTGAGATAGGATAACACCTATGTGAACACAAGAATATCCATCAATACAACTCTTATTCAAAAGCACTAAAGCCAGTAATACAGAGTGAAATTAATCAAACATGCAATCAAGATGCGCTATTGTTAACAGTGATTGGACAGCAGAGTTGAAAGCAAAGAGGAAGGAACAGTAGTTGGAAAATAGGGACTTGGTGATACAAACAAAGCAAGACACACAATAGAATTTTGCAAGACCAACAACTTCTTCATTGCATGTACCTTTTTTTAAACAACCCTAAGGCAACTATGCATGTGGAATTCTCCAGCTGTATTATCCAGAAATCAAACTGTCTACATCTGTAAAAAGAGCAAAGGAGACGCTCATTATCAGAGTCTAAAATCAGACCAGTGGCAGATTGTGGAACTGACCATCAATTGCTCAGATGTAAGTTCAAGATGAAGTTGAAGAAAATAAAAAGTTCACTAGGGCCAAAATATGAGCTTGACTATATTTCACCTGAATTTTGAGAACAGATTTAATGCAATCACTTGACAAAAGACCTGAGGAATGACATTAAGAACATCCATCATTCACAAAGCAAAGGGTTATTAAAACGACAGAAAAGACTCTAAAACTTGTTTTTAATTGGAGAGTAACTAAGGTAAATGGAAAATATGATCAAGTAACAGCACAGCAGAGAAAATTTCCAAGTACAACTTGAGAAGAGAAAGTAGAAAAGTGTAATGAAAAGGTCAAAGACCAAGTGTTAGAAAACCAAAAGGGAAGCACATGTGCAGCATATCTGAAACTGGAAACAACAAAATTCAAGCATCGGGTTGCAATATTAAAAGATGCTATGGGCAAAATATTAAATGATACAGGAATCATCCAAAGAAGTTGGTAAAAATAGTCACTGTACTAAAAAGGATTAGTCAATATCCATTTATTTTAAAAGGTAGAATATGAGCAAGAATCACTGCTACTGAAGTAAGCACTGTATATATACTTAAGCATAAGCAGACCAGAATATCAGCCGAGGCACCTAATTCCTCCTCCCCCCCCAAAAAAAACTGCATTAAAAGTGTGCTGAAAAACTCACCTTATACTCAAGTATATATGGTAATTTCAAGTTGCACTGAAAGCATTGAACAAATACAGAATTCCAGGAATTGATGAAATACCAATTGAAACATTCCAATGAAGTGAGGAAGCCCTGGAAGTACTCATCTATGCCAGAAAATTTTGCAGGCAGCTGCTAGGTCAGCTGACCTAAAGAGATCCAATTTTTACCCATTCCAAAGAAAGGTGACCCAAAAAAATGCTCAAATTATAATATAGGACTATCACATGGTAGTATAATACATGAAATCACATGGTAGTAAAGTGTTGCTGTCAATTATCCAACAACAATTGAAGCTATACAGTCACAAGGAGCTGCCAGAACTTATGTCTGATTCAGAAGAGAATGTGGAATAAGGGATACCACTGATGTCAGATGGATCTTGGCTCCAAACATAAAATACCAGAAAAGTAATTGTTTATGTTTTATTGATTATGCCAAGACACTTGGTTGTGTGGATCTAACTATGGATAGGCTTCATTAGTATCGGAATTCCAGAACTGTTCATTGTGCTCATGCAGAATGTGTGCATGGACCAAGGGGCATTGTATAAATGGAACAAGGGAAAACAGAGTGGTTTAAAATAAGGAAAGGTTTGTCAACTAAATTCCCTAGGGAAGAAGCAGACTAGTCTGTGTGATCCGAGGATTGTAAATAATATAATCCAAATCCGAAGGAGCAAGTGTTAGCAGAACTTAACTTGTGAGCACCTGGTTTGCAGAGGGGCTATGGATGACTGTGGAAGCCCAAAATCCATTAGCAAGGTCCACACATAGATTAAACCTCTGATGAATCCTCTCTGATCACAGGCAAGGGATGTGAATAGCCTTGCTATCAGACCAAGAGTAAGTAAGTCAATTATGTTGTTAACGTAATATTCTTATGATATGATCTATTTTAATTTTGTTCTAGTTTTACTTTGGTATTGTTTTCCTGTAACTAAAATCCAGGACAGGTAAATCTGTAGAGATAATAACTAGATAAATGGTTTCTTGGGGCTATGGTAGGTAGGGTTCCGGGGAAAATGGGGAGTTGAAACACGAAAGAAGAAAATGTTCAAAAATTGATTGTGGTCTTGATTGTACAACTCCTTTTGATATGGATTACCAAATTTTATGATGTGGATTATGTACCAATGAAACTATTCTAAGAATCAAAAAGATAAAATCAGGAAAGGTGTGCATTAGGGTTGCATTCTCTCCCCATATTTATTCAATCTGTTTATTGAGCAAATAGAGAAGCTCAATTATAAAGAATTTGGCATCAGGTTTGGAGAAAGGCCTATTAACAATCTGACATATGTCAATAGCACATTCTTGCTTGCTGCAGGTAAGGAAGACTTACAATTGCTGAAGATGATCAAGGATTGCAACCTTTAATATAAATTACAACTCAATGTAAATAAGACCAAAATCTTCCCAATTGGTAACTAACACAAACAGAGAAAAGATCAAATTTATCAAGGATTTTATCTTGCTCGTTTTGAAAATCAATACTCACGGAAACGGCAGTCAAGATCTCAAAAGACATGTTGTACAAGGTAAATCTGCTGCACAAGCCTCTTTAAAGTGTTGGGGGGGGAAATAAAGCAAGGATGTTGCTTTGGGGATTAAGGTATACCGGACCCTAGCCATGGTATTTCTAATGGCCTTCTATGCGTGTGAACTAATAAGTGTTTTTGAATTCTGGTGCTGGTAAGAGTAATGAAAGTACCATGGAACACACAAATCTGTCTTGGATGTACAGCCAGAATGCTCCTTAGAGGTAAGGATGATAAGACTTTGCCTCACCAATGTTAGACATATCAGGAGAGACCCACACCTGGAGAAAGACATCATGCTTGATAAGGTATTGGGGCATAGACAAAGAGGAAGGCCTTAAAAGAAATGCATTAATAGCGGCTGCAAAAATGGGCTCAAAAACACAAACAATTGTGAGGATTGCCTAGGACTGGGTATTGTTTCATTCTTTATATATAGGGTTCCTATGAACCAGAATAGAGGTCAAGGCACCTAACACAACAACTACATCCTTAGTTCTCAGTGCATCTTTACTTAATACATTTGTTTCCTTTTCAAGTCAGCTTAAATAAATGCACAGCTTACAGAGTTCAGAAACAGAATTAAACACTATTATACATAGTGGATATGTAAATTTTTTATAAACATGGAATACATATAAAAGAGCTTCAAAAAGCTTATGGGAAAATGGAAATGAGGAAGAATGTTATTTTTCCACAAGCTTTTTAAGGCCCCTTAAGACACTAAATAAAAATACACAATACATAGTTCTATGAAATAGTAGAGCCTACTAGAAAGGACTAATCTCCTTAGTAAAGGAATTACATGGAAAAAATCTCTATCTTGAAAAGTAAATTTTTCATTCCTCCCCGCACTACCATGACACAGTTCTACCTTACAAATCTGGCTAGATCAGAGTACATACATGGCACAGGTAAGAGCTCTCGAAACATGGAATTCAGGACAGATAAAACCTTCAGAAACAGTAGTGGGAATAGCAGTATCATGGGGGGGTGAGGGGGACCACAACAAGGCTGGATTGGATACATAGCTCATAGCTCACTCCCCAGGAGAACGAATAATAGAAATGTGGGTAAAGGGAGACAATGACATTGTAAGATACAAAATAACAATAATAAGTAAATGATCAAGGATTCATGAGGGTGGGAGAGAGAAAGAGGAATTGATACCAAGGGCTCAAGTATATAGAAAATGTTTTAGAAATGTTGATTGATAGCAACATATGTACAAGTATGCTTAATACAACTGAATGATGGATTGTCACAGAATTTTTAAGAGCTCCCAATATAATGATTTTTTTAAAAAGGTTACTAATTTTAATTAGTCAAATCACAAGATAGGCCTCCTGGTGATCTACTTTCAAAAACTCAGTCAATGAAAATTTATGAAGTACAGCTCTACTCTGACATCCATGGGTTGTCATCAGTAATTCCTATTAAGACCCCATAGGTGACAGTTAAAATTGCTTGAGCGTTTGTAATGGAAGTAGCAGAACATGAAGGCCCCATTCTTTCTAGTATCTCTGGGTTGACTTGAATCACCAACTTACACCATCAAAGGATAGGATTGGTCAATTAAAAAACAAACCAAAATAAGCAAACACAAAACTATCAAGTCAATTCCAACTCGTCGGAATCCAACAGAAAGAATATTGACTGCCTCATAGGGTTAATGAAGCAAACCAAATAATAGAAACCATTTTAATTTAGCTCCTACCATTTGTGCTGACTTTTAATCCTTTAACAAGACAAATACACATCCAAATTAGTATTCTTCTAAGCTTTCTAATCTAGAAATTCTCTGGATAGTATACTTCTCTCTATGGATACCTATCAATTTGATGTGAATGTCAATTAAATATTAATCTCGGTAAATCAGTTTCATTCACGAAAGCATTATTTCAGTAATAAATATAAACATAGTCAAAAAGGTCCTAGAAATTAAACATCAAATGCAAAGACAAACAATGCAGTGGAGATGGTCATACTGACCAACCCGAGACACCCTTATGAAACATGGAACCCAGTATCTCAAATATTGTTTAATACTGTAAATTTTGTATAAATGTATAGTGCCACACAGTTTCATTTATTAGTTAATAGTGTATAATTCAGTAGTTGTTAAATAAGTTGTTTTTTAAGGAAAATGTGTGGTTTCATTCACTTGCCAATTTGACACGTGTCCATAGAGGTATGTAGATGAGAAATGTCTGTAAACTCAGCACTCACTACAGAAGTAGACTGTCATATCTTTGGGTTCGCAATTGAACACTTAACCAGTGCACTAGAGCTTCATCAGTTAACCCAAAGCCCTGGTCATCAAATTCTAACTCACAGTGACCCTAATGCATAGCACAGACAGACTAGACTGTATCTTCAGGTTTCAGAGAATGCATATTTTTACAAGGACAGTCTATCTTTCTCCTACAGAGCAGGTAGTAGATTTAAGCTGCCGACCTTGTGATCAGCAACTTAATGCTTCATCAACTTTACTATGAACGGTAAATGTCCTAGCATGATTTGATTTTGAATTCACCATTTTAAAAATAAGCTATGAAAAGACTTAAAAGGTTATTTTTAAAATAAGAACTACTGCTCCTACCAGCCTTCTAGAGAACTGTATACTCTTCATCTTAGAAGGAACATAAAAGGATGTTTACTTGTTTTACCACAATGTAAGTGATTGTTAGAAACTTCCAACTTTCATATCCTACTTTAACAACCAAACTACCTTTCTATGTCTATCAAATTTATATGCATACAGCTTAAGCTCCCAACATTGCTAGAAGATAATTTCTACTTTTTAAAACAAATTAAGGGGGGGATGCCATTTAGTAAATAAATACAATCACACTATTATGAGGAAGACCAAGATACGATGAGCTAGAGATTACTGCATTTCTTAACATCATTTTGTCATTTGCTAGCATCATTGTAAGAACCAGAGTCGATGTAAAACACAATTGGTTGGTAAACTACAAACAAGTGGAAATGAGCTAGTATCTGTTAATATAAAATATCTCTCCTATGAAAATTAACTGAGTCGGAACATATAAACAAACGAAGTAATAATCATTATAAATATGAATTAGTTATAATTAAAGATGCACATGCAGAAAGAACACATATCTAGAACATTAACCTAAGTATAGGCATTACCTAAACTTAAGCAATAAATTTGTGACTTAATCAATAAAAGGATTATAGCTCAACTAAATAATCCAAGGGGTATTATCACCATTGTCAATAAAAACAGGTTGTAAATTATTAGTTCACAATAAGAACTGTGTAATGGTCCACCACTGAACCAAACCCCCATTCACACTGCCTATATAACCTACAGTGTTAAGTAGTTTCTTCACATCTTTCATTTCTATGTACTTACTACTCGTTTATCTCTGTATCTTGCTTCATGTGGTACTGGGTGATGTCCTGAGTAAGGTGGGTGGGCTTGAGGAGGTGGAGCATGATGTTGATAATATGGATGGTGTGGAGGCTGTTCCATTCCTGGATAAGGAGGCTTAAAAGAGAAAGAACCACTTCCATAAGAATCTATCAAATATTCTTGTAAATATGTCTCCCCACCAAAAATATAAAACAGGCCCAAATAATTTAATCGAACCCAGCCAATCACTTTGATGACATTAAAGTTCTTCAAAATATCCTATTTGGTTGACAAAAGTATGTCTTTCAAGATAAACACTCTTGATTTCCAGTTTTAATGATTTAGCATGTTTGTCTACCCGTATCCTTTAAAATACTAACAGAAACAAAACAAAGCTAGGCATTGACACAAACATTTTACATGTCTCATAGAATTCTCAAAGAAAACCTAAGCGTTAAGACATCATTATTTCTAGTTTATTAAAGGAAAACGGAAGCACCAAATGGTAAAGTTAACAAGACCTTAATGCAAACAGAGGGTAAATCCAGAGTATAATAGCAGAAATCCTTACTCTAGAATCTATGATCACTATTATTCACAAGTCTATTCTTAAAACCTCGCCAACGGCCAACATCATAGTCAATGGAGAAAAGACAAAAACAATCCCACTGAAAAAGGGTACTAGACAAAGATGTCCCTTGTCCCCACTTCTATTCAATATCGTACTGGAGGTTCTAGCTAACAACATAAGACAGCAGAAGGGCATTAAAAGTATCCAAATGGGACAGGAGGAATTGAAACTATCGCTATTTGCAGATGACATGATCCTGTACAATGAAAACCCCAAAAGCTCCACAACGGGAGTACTTATAGCAATAGAGGAATATGGAAGAATGGCAGGATACAAGATCAACAAACAGAAGTCGACAGGTTTGCTATGTACATCGGACAGAGCCATGGAAGAGATCAAGAAGGCAGTACCCTTCACAATAGCCAAGGACAAACTGAAATACCTAGGAATGCAATTAACAAAAAAAGCTAAAGACCTATACAAGGAAAACTACAAGACCCTACTACAGGAAATCAAAACTGACCTCCAGAAATGGAAGAACATCCCATGCTCGTGGAATGGAAGACTCAACATAGTAAAGATGTCAATCTTACCCAAAGCACTCTATAAGTTTAATGCTATTCCGATTCAAATATCAACAACCTTCTTCAAAGAACTGGAAAAACTGATGACCAATTTAATGTGGCGAGGGAAGAAGCCCAGAATTAGCAGAGAACTCCTCAAGAAGGGCAAAGTTGGAGAACTAGCTTTACCTGATTTTAACACCTACTACACAGTAGTCAAAACAGCATGGTACTGGCATAATGACAGATGCTAGACCAGTGGAAAAGAACAGAAAGCCCAAAAGTAAAACCATCAGCATACAGACAACTGATCTTCGATAAGGGTTTCAAAAGCATCAAGTGAGTAGCAGATGCCCTCTTTAACAAGTGGTGCTGCAAAGAATGGATATCCACATGTAGAAAAATGAAACAAGATGTTTACCTCACCCCATGCACTACAACAAACTCAAGGTGGATCAGACCTAGAAGTAAAACCCAAAACCATCAGGACCATCAAGGAAGTTATCGGGACTAGCCTAAGATCACTGGCCCAGGGAATACATAGGCTCACCACAACAGGGAAGGGTACACACAGCTGAACTGGAAATCGACAAATGGGATTTAATAAGAATAAATCACCTGTGTACTTCCAAAGACTTCACCAAGAGGGTAACAAGGCAACCCAGTCAGTGAAAGGATTTTTAGTAATGACACATCAGACAAAGGGCTTATTACTAAAATCTAAAACACCCTCCTGGCCTGCAAAAAGAGGAAAACGTTAATACCCTAAGGAAGTGGGCAAAGGAACTGAAAAGAAATTTCACTAGGGAGGAGACCAGTATGGCCAATAAACACGAGAAAGTGTTCTTGTTCATTAGCTAAGAGAAATGCAAATTAAAACAACCATGAGATATCATCAAACACCCATGAGGTTATCCCAAATCAGAAAATCAGACAGCAACAAATGTTGGAGGGGATGTGGTGAAATAGGAACCCTCCTCCACTGCTGGAGGTCAGCCACTGAAGCAAGCGATCTGGCAATACTTAAAGAAAATGGAATTTGATCTACCTTATGACCCAGTCACCCCCTCTACTGGGCATATACCCAGAGGTGGTAAGAAATAAAACATGACCAGTCATCTGTGCTCCAATGTTTATTGCAGCACACTTCACAATCGCAAAGAATTGGAAACAACCTAAATTCCCATCGATAGATGAGTGGATTAGTAAACTGGCAAATAGACACAATGGGAGTACTATGCACCACTAAAAAGCACAGGCGATTACATGAAACACGTCATTTAATGGGAAGAGTTGGAAGGAATTATGTTAAGTGAGCTAAGCCAATCTCAAAAGGACAAGTACCATATATACTCAAGTATAATGTCAAGGCACCTAATTTTACCACAAAAACTGCATTAAAAATGTACTGAACAACTTAACTTACACATGAATATATGTGTTATGAGTCCCCTGAGGCAAATATCATCAGCACAGCAGGAATAGAAGACACTTATCTCACAATAAATGGGTGGAGGCATAGGCAGTCAGGTGGAGGTCAGACCAAACTCAGGGAGGTACATGTGAATCCAACATAAAGAAGGGGCAAAGGGGAAGGAGAATGGGAGTAGGGAGAAACTGAGATGATGACAAGGGGGGCACAGGGCACTAATCTACCCAGGGAGAGTGTATTGGCTGTCTCCACAGAATTGGAGAGTACATACAGAACCCACCATGGCGCACCAAATCAGGAGAGACGTAACACGTGGAGGAATGCATGAAAAGACTGGACTACAGGGTCAGCCTCAACCAGAACCAGCCTGACCCCCACCCTAGAAGTGTGTACTGCAGAGACCACCACTAGACCTGCAGGTGGGGGGAAAGGAACCGACTTACCATGCCCCCACGGGAGCAAACGAAGAAAGGAAAAAGAGAAAGGGCAGTCGACTTAGACTCCTTTTAGGGCCACCAAGCCCAGAATATGAGGTGCTGGGGCACATAGAGGGCTGTGGGACTACCAACAACTCAAGACATGTTGTCCCCTAACTGGAGCACATGGTGACTTGGGACAATAATGGGGACACACAGTGGGCGTGTGGGAACTTCCCCAGGATCAGGAAGGAAGGACTCTTGGGGGCCAGTGAACAGACCTGGACCTATGTAGGGTTTTTTTTCCCTTTCTTTTCCTTCTCATCTTTTTCTCTCTCATTTTCTTATTTCATCTGTATGTTTTGTTATTGTTCGGACTACGACATTGGTGGTTTGCCTACTTACATGGGTCAGACATGGTAGGGAAGCTAGGGGAGAAGGCAATGGGACCAATGGTCCCGAAAGGTAGAGGGGGAAGCAGGTGGAGAGAAGAGTGTGGTGAGTGGACGGCGTCATGGACAGGGGAACTAGGGAATTGAAACCAACATCTACGAGAGGGTAGAGATCCTGTGAGTATTAGAGCAATGCCAACCTAGTAGAGAGGGAGCACTAAGATTGTGGAAGAAGGGGAAAGTGATGGCGGGGCAGGAGGCAAAAGGAAACAGAGGCAAGCTCTAGGAAACAAAGCCATAGATAGGGATATTAATAGAGGCAGGCACTTATGTAAATATATTAACCTATAACAACAGAGCTAATGGCCTGTGTACATATAACAAATTGGCATTCTGTAATGCTCTCCCCCTCATGCCCCCTACATGATCACTGAAGACAATTGTAACAAAGAGTTGTAAGAGCCCCCAATAAAATGATCTAAAACAAACAAACAAACAAACAAACAAACAAACAAACCTCACTGCCCTCGATTTGATTCTGACTCTTAGTGGCCTTATAGGACAGAGGAAAACTTAAAACTGCTCCTGTGAGTTTCTAATGCTGTAAATCTTTAGGGGAGCAGAAAACCCTCATTTTCCTCCCTCATAACAGCTGGTGATTCTAAAATGCTAACCTTGTGGCTAGCAGCCCAACTCAACCTACTTTCCACTGCCAGGCCTCCTAACTCTATACTTGAGGAAGAAAAGAAAAAGGGGGGGAAAGCTAATATACTTTAAATGTTATACTACTACTCTCGGTGTTAGATAATAATTCATTTCTTTCATTGTACAGACTCTAAAGGAAAGAAATCTTAAAAATTGTTTGGAGTAACATGAAATTTACAACAACTGAAACAGTTAAGTTGGGGAAAGTGGCCCCATTAAAGAGCACATTAAAAAACAAACCATAAAAGCAACTTAAACCTCTGAGTTTTTATTCCTCAGAAACTAATACTTTAGCTATTCCAATATTTTAAAGAGCATCCATTTTCATAAAGGAAATAATTAACAAGAAAAAAACATAGCTGAATTAACCTTCCTTTAAACAAGAGTTAAATTTACTATGTATTACTGTGCACTCACTATATGCTAAGCTTAGCAAGTTTTGATGGCATAGTAGGTTACCCATTGGGCTTTTAACCAAAGGCTATGAAGAAGAACAGGCTCAGAAATCCAACAAGGCGGTTCTCCCGTCCTACAGGGTCGCTGTATGAATGGACTCAATAGCAGCAGTTAGTCTGTTCTTTTCCATGCTAACTCTTTTATGTATTATGTGTAATTGTCTTCTTGAGGACAATCCCAATGACACTGGTACTATTTCAAACAGGCATACAAAAATGCTCATTCCAAAGGAGGGGTAGGGGGAACACATTTCTATGATGACTATATAAATCGACTCTAAGGGAACGAACATCAGAATTTAAGGAGAATGGATACATGGGATGGTGCAAGCTTAAGGCAAAAAAAAAAAAAAGAACCAAATCAGTAATATTAATATATACTACAGTAAGAGTTCAGGGGGGTGGTAGGGTTGAGGGGGTGGGGGAACGGAGAATAAAGGGGAGCTGTTAACAAGGAGTTCAAGAAGAAAATAAAATGTATGAAAATGATGAGTGCAGCAATTATAAAACTATGCTTGATCTAATGGAACTATGGATTGTAATCATTTCTGTATGAGCTCCTAATAAAATGTTTTTTAAAATTGCTCATTTCTCTCACCATTGTAATAAGCACAGTGCCTTAGACAGAGCAAGTACTAAGTATTTGCTTTATGAGTAAGTAACATTGGTAAAGCGGGACACCATTGATAAAACTCATATCCTGGAGAAATAGCCACATGGCAGCCAAAAACTGTATACCCTAGCTTGTCGTGCATTCTTTCCAAAAATCAGGACTTTTTTAAAATGCCGCGGGACGCGGGAAAATTTGTTCAAAAGCGGGATGTCTGGTCACCTTAAATTTATGAGCCACAGAATAAAGGAATGCCCAGAAGTTTTAAAATAATGCAAATTAAGAAGCATGTATTATGATATTTGACCAGAGATTTGAGAAGACATGTGAACTAAAATAGTAGTTGAATCTATGGAATAAACTATTATAGTCACCTGCTAAGTCTGTATTATTAATATAACCAACAGCTACTTATTATATATATTTCATATATATTTGTAAGCCTCTTGATACTAATACTTGATCAATATTTATGCAAAGTATTAGGAACTACAAATGAAGTTAAATAACTTGCACAGTAAGAATACAAACCATTCCTTGCCACGGTGGTGGTGGTCCCATGTTATGGAATTCCCTCACATAGTCATTGTAGGACTGAAATGAAAGACAACAATGTCAATATCATATTCAGGACTACAAAATAAATTAGATCCTGGTTTTATCTACATTAAATCTATAAAGTATAATGCTTACCCCATTTAAAAACACATCTCGGCGAACTCCTGAAAATCGTCTGTTGGGAATAAGATTTGTGAAACTAAATTCAGGTAATTCACATACTAGTTCCAAGAATGTAGTTCAAAACTAAGCAACAGTTAACCCAACTTACCTGTCCACTTCCTGGTATCGTGGATCCTTTAAATACCCTGTTCAAACAGCAAGCATTTTAGTAAAACAAATACATAAAATTGTAGGATGGCATTATATTCAAACCTTCTTTACCACTCAATTCAATTCTTTCCACGAAATATGTGCTTTAAAGGATGGATGCTATATATTACTCCATTTGCAAATTTTCTTCTCAGGTTGCATGATTATCTAAGAAGTACTTAAATAAATAATGTCATTCCACAGAATTGTAAATTGTTAGAGAAGCTCTGTTGTGGATCTTCACCCATTAATCTACCTTAATAGAAAATGTCTTCATTCTGCACCACCGGGATGGGTAGGGTAGAGGAGCTACTTAAGGCACTGCAATAGGAGTTTCTTTATACAATGTTTATCTTCCACCGTATAGGCCTTCTAAGTAACCCAGTTTTAAAAATCCAAATTTGAAGAACACAAAACTGTAAAAATGAAATATGCATTTTTAATTAAAGAATCATGGAGAGATGCAAAAGTCGTTTCCTCCTTCCTTCTTTTAATCAAGAGCCAGTTAATTAAAATATAAAAACGGGTAAGTAGCCAGATTTCTGAGGAAAAACTAATTTTACTTGCAGGATAGTCTCTTAATTTGAGGAAGAATGAGATTTATCAAGTCACTTGTTGGATAATGCTGTTAACTCTCACCAATACCAATTTCCAAATTACTTAAGTTTTATAAAAGCACCACCATTGACTGTTTTAACTATATTTCTATCTTAAAGATAAACTAAATTCGCCCTTAAATTATAAACCAAATACTTCCTCATTCCTCCCAAAAAACATAAAGTTAATTTTTTTAGTTAAAAATATATAGCACAGCTTCAGTTTCCAACTAAAGATAAATACCACAAGAATTTCTAAGTACCACAGGGAATAAAAATCCTAATTGTACAATTAGCTTTCCCTAAATTCATTTATTGTATTAATACATCTGCAGGTTAAATTTCCATTTTTCAATAATCAGCTATCTCAGACAATTATGATACTGAATTATACTGACATCAGTAGCAATAGGGAAAAAATGAGATTTCCTAAAGTTTACCACATATACTCGAGTATAAGCCAGCCCTAATATCAGCCGAGGCACCTAATTTTACCACAAAAAATGAGCTCAAAAACTCAGCTTATACACGAGTAATATATGAAATGCATTCATATTCTACTCACTGTTAAAAGGAGGAAGACAGAAGTGTATGTCTTTTTAAAAAGAATTCTAAGTGAAATATCTGCAGGATTATAAAATATTAACCTGGTCTCTGGTGAAACTCAGGGGGATAGTCAATCCTTGGTTTCTTTCTGCTGTTATGAATATCATAATCTTCTGGTCGACGCCTACACAAATTAGACACATTAGAAATTAAACCAAAAACAACTGGGAGAACAAATAGCAAAGCAAGAGTTTTTGACAGAAACAAGTACAAGGAGTAGTAGCTCATTGTTTCCCATAAATGTCTTAATTTTTGGTAAGTAAATAGTCTTCAATTTCCTAAATTCTTATTCCTCAAAATTAATTACTACAAGCCAAACCTTAATATATTACTTAAAGAATACACTACTCTGTGATCTCATACTATGATGAGACAAGTAGGAAGGACAACACTGCTCAAACCATATAAATCACATTTTAGTATCCTAAACAAAATAACCTATAAACTAAATACCCAGTTTAACAAAAACACTTTTCCAAAATAATGTCTCCATTTAGGTGAAATAGAAAATGGGCTACTTCATTATACAATACTAAAACCTATGTATTTAAACTTACTAGTCATTTTTAAATAAATCCAAAAATTAATTCTTAAAGGTTGTCTCCTTTGCACAAAATTATACTTTTCACATCATACAGAATATTTGATATTTAGCAAAAAGCAAATTTACACGAAAGCTTTAAAAATCTTAATACTGTGGAGAAACTAATTTCTACAATTACATTTACGAATTAAGAAAGTTTTTCCCTAAAAACAGTGCCTTAAGGGATAATTGACGTTTTATAAATTGATAATAGGATCAGTCTTAACACAGTTCATAAAACTAATCCAAACTATTCTTTAGAAGGTTAAATTTTACTGTTATCTATATAGCTGTTTTAAGACACTATTAAATACACTTCACTTTACTGAGCATTTTAGTAAAGAGCTTAACAAAATTTTTAAAAGGTCAAGTTTTTTAGTAATAAATATCCTTTTACCATTAATATCAAATAAAAACTAAATTGACCTGACATCACTAGTTTATCAGCTACTTTTCTGAATACTGTTTTCATTTACACAAGTTTAACTTATTCAAACTACAAAGTTAAATAACCCCAAGCCCCACAACAGAATAAAAACAGTTGCATCTACAATCAGTAAGACTAAGAAAATTAAAAGCTGTTTTAAAAAACAAACATACCGCTTTCTTGTAGGTGGGGTAGTGCATTTACGACCGGTATAAACCATGATAGTAACAGTTCATACAGTAGTCCAACTACTGACTGTAAGCTGTAAGCCACATACATAAATGGAGGCCCTGGCAGGCTTGAGAGAAGGTGTGATGGTGTAATAAGTATAATTTGCAGTCCATTGCAAAACTGAGGTAAAAACTTCACTTGTATATACTGTATTTCACTGGAAACCTCTTAGCTTAAAAATTCAAGACATCTTGGTGCTCAGTCCTTTTAGGCCAGTAAGGGACTCTGCCAGGTTTCCTCCTACCTACTCCAGTGTCCTTTTTAAGCTCAAAGAAATGGGGACTCGTTGGATTATCTGTACCTACCACAGATGTTTCCACCAAAAGGAAACTTAACCAAGGTTTCATCCCATGAACCACACTTCCAACAGTCTTTAGAAGAATATTTTAGGTTTAGCTGTATGCAAATCTACACAGGGAAAGGTGTTGGGTAGAAGGGCTTAAATCAGTCCTTTGCAAAGATTTCTCCAATTCTGTAACAAGTTAAACCCCCTTTTCCTGGAAAATGCTGTTTAGTTCATAAGGTAGTGCTCAATAACCATGGCGATCCTCTAATAAAACTTTAAGTCCACAGGTACTGCCAGCATCTGGAAAAGTTGTAAACAGACACAGCAACAGCCCTTCTTTTTGGTTTGTTGCCGGGTCTCCCAGGGCCACTTGATCCCCTTTGGAAAGAACCTATCGTTTTCTGAAGCTCAGCAAGATGTGTGAATTCAGTGGGTACATGTTAGAGAATATTTGGCAATGGGGTTAACGCATCACGGTGGTAAATTTTGAGACAGTCCCAATATTGCTCCTCTTGAACAAAATAACTTAAAATATTTTATCCTCTATACGAGGCGTCATCTTCTGAAAAAATATTAGTGATCCTTTATAAAGTCCCATATCTGATAAGGCTTATCCAGAGAGACACACCTGAAAGAAAAGGCTTTTTACAAAGTATTAACAATTTTGCAAATAAAGGCTTCCTCCTCCTCCTCTTCCTTTCTAGCCTGGTTTCAGTATCAAATGCCTACCTTGTATTTCAATTGCATACATAGTATTGTCAGATTATAATCTCATCTAAACTATCATTATAGCAAATACTTTTTTCTGCATAAGGAAAGATCCCCATTTTCCTCTTGAAAAATGACAGAAACCAAGCTGGACCATGTGAAATCCTCAATGAAGCCACAAACTAGTCCATGCAGCTTGATTTGAGGATTTTCTCTTTCTTCTTTACCGCAGGACAAACTTTTGACGAATCACATTCCTCCATCATGTTATTCTGATACATGTGCCTATTATCAGTCCAAAGAACGTTTCTAACCTTCCCACATCCCGGACTGGTTCTCGACGGGATGGACGTCCTCTTGATCGGGGCTGAGAATGCATTCTTCTCTTGTGACGCATTTTATGAATGACCTGATACAAGTCAATACTTTCATCGGGGGGAAACAGAAGACAAAGCTGGGTTCCACATTCAAGTTCAATTTCCTGGAATATGAAAGTCACAATTTATAAATTGACAAAAGGAGAATCTTTCAATAATATAAAACAAAACACAGACTGACTTCGATCCTTCTTTCTAAAGAGTGAGGATGAAGTGGGATTCATTTATAAATCTTAAAGACTTAAAATCTTTCTAAAGTGCTTCAAATATTTACACAAAGTGTAAAAGTTGAAAGAATCTCCAAAGCAAACCCTAAACCTATTCCTAAGTCTAACCCCCTAAACCTAGTCTAACCCTAACCCTAACACTAACCCTAACCCTAAAACAATTTTTTTTAAAAAAGGAATCTCCAAAGCAGCTGCTTAAAACTGTGGCTATCCTTCCACAAACAATTTCTTTGTACAAATACCACACTGCCAGGACAAAGCCACCCATCTTAACACTGTAGAACACATATACTTCCACGAAAATACTTTTACGTAACTTCAATTTTGCAAATATCAGGATTCTAATTCATGAAGAACAGAAATAAAAAGATTACCTAACACTTATACCCAATCATCTAATTGTTACTGTGTCATTAACCATTATAAACTGCTAAATAAACTTAAATGCATTACCTATAAAAACAGACTATCTTAGGTGAGCTTTTAGAAGCTAACTTTTAATTTCAAATAAGGGAAATAAAAACAGTATTATTTCTAGCTCAGAACCATCTGTGCAAATTACAAAGGGAAAAGATTTGAATTTATTTTGAATACTGGTTCCCATAAATATTTCCCTTTTCAGGAAAAGAATCACGCAGCAGCGGCCTGGCAACTAAAACTTTTGTACCATAGTCCATTATTCAGGATAAAGTGTAAGTATCTGCTTCTGCAGCTCTCTCCTGGATCATTCCAGGTTCCTCCAGGGGTTGACCACCCACTTTGGTAAACACTGCAAATCAATGCAACATTTCCAACTCAAAATTTCAGGCTTGAAATCCTGAGTATAAATACCTAAGTCTTTTCACAAAGCTTCCATCTATTCAAAAAGCCTCAAGAAAGATGTTAAATGGCATTACTAAAATGTACACTTAGCATACAGTCACCCCAGTCTGAACAAAAACTTTTACCTCTCAATGTCTAATATGTACCAACCAGGTCAAATTAAATGTGTGTTTTAAAGAAGCAATTAAAATGACAAACCTGTCCATCACGTCCGATCTTTACTGGTTTATGTTCATTCCAAGGATTGGTGAGATGTGCCGATTTAGTGAAGGGTAATTCACGCCTAAATACAAAGGAATATCCTTTTTTTGTTGTTTTGCAGGATCTTTTAAGTACCTTATATTACACTTCAATAGTGAATATATCAATGTTAACTAGAATTGGAGTGAAACTAAATTGCAGAAAATCACTTAAAAGTAGTAGAGCTTATTCCCTCCCTACAAAAAGAGCTCCTTCAGTAACGTATTAGCACACTATGCACAATAGTCTACAAAATGAACAACCACGTATGACAGTGCTAAGAGCCCAGGCTTTGGAAACGAGAGCTAAGGGTTTTTTGTTTGTTTGTTCTTTAATCATTTTATTGGGGGCTCATCTCTTACCACAATCCATACATACATCCATTGTGTCCAGCAGTTAAGTTTCAAATCCTACTTTATCTGTCCATTAATTTTGAACTTGTTTATCTTTTCATAAAAAATCTTACCGCCCATTTCCTAGTTGTTTTTAGTTTGTAAATGGATTGATTTATACAAAATGTTAACCATAAGCCTTGCTTCAGTATATTAAAAAAATATGGTTACTATTTTTAGAACAAAAAGCTAAACTTCATTTGTTAATAACAATTTCATTGTTAATAACAAATGAAAACATAATGCTTCTTGACTGATGGTAAGTTGCTTTCTCAAATTCAAGAGTCCGCTCACAATAGAGCATTACTTCCCATAATCCATAAAATGATTTTTTATTTGGATAATACTAATGTTTACTTGTAAAACCACATTAAGTATACCCTCAACGTACTACTTACTGCCCTGCTTTAATAAAGGGTAATATTTTTATAATCTAAACACCATTACTTAAAAATATAAAAAGGTAATGGAGCAAAAATGGTCTCACCCAACCTGAGATAATCTGTATTTCTGTATCAATTTGGCATAATGAACACAAAGTATTATTTGTTAGTTGCCAATAAATAATCAGATTATTGGCAGCATTCACAATGAATTTATCTACAGGTTATGCAAGGCTAACGTCCATAGTTTAATTCTATGAAATTGGACATAATATATAATTTTGGCATTGTTCTAACACTGTACTAAAACTTTATGAGAATCTTAAGGGACAAGGGTCAACTGGCATTAACAGTTCACAAAGATAATGATCGATGTCCTAACTGGTAATAAATGGGGTCTTCAAAGATTGTGATCAGCATGTAAGACAAAACTGCTAGGCTCTCCCGACCCAGAGAAAATGATGAAATCAAAGGGCATACTTAAACAGACCAGGACCAAGAGACCAGAAGAATTATAGACCGTGCTGGTGTGCAGCTACCACTAGTGGCACAGTGGTTTTGTCTTGAATCGCTAACCTGAAGGTTTTCAGCAGTTCAAAACCACCAGTAAGTCTTCCAGAGAGAGTAAGACTTTCCATTTCTGTGTATAGTTTCAGTCTCATAAGGACTCTACTACTACCTTGTTGCATAGGGTCGCTATGAATTCAGAACTGACTCAGTGGTAGTTTTAAGTTTATGGGCATAATACTGAATGATGCACGAAACATCTAAAGAAGATGGAAAGAATAACAGAGTTGTACCAAAAAGAAATAGTCTACATTCAACCATTTCAAGAGGTAGCATATGAGAAAGAGCCAAAGCTACTGAAGGAAGCTGGTCCAGCTGCACTGAAAGCATTAGACAAAAACAAGGCTCCAAGAATTCATGAAATACCAAATGAGATGTTTCAACAAGTTGATGAAACATTGGCAGTAAGTAGTCATTTATGTCAGAAAATTTGATAGAAAGCTACTTTGCCAGCTGTCTGGAAGAGATCCTTATTTACACCCATTCCAAAGGTTATTTAGCAGAAGACTCGAATCATGAAACTATCATTAAAATCACATACCGTTAACATTTTTCTAAGTATCATCCAACAACAGGTGTACCAGTATATTACCAGGGAGCTGCCTGAGGGTCAGGTCAGATTCAGAAGACACAGAAGGAGATGTCAAATGGATGTTCAGAATACAAAACAGATTTTTACTTGCTTTATTGAATATACCAAGACATAGGGCCGTGTGGATCATAACAAATTATGGATAGTCTTGAGAAGAATGGGCATTCCAGAACACTGCACTGTGCTCATGTGGAACATGTATACGGAACAAAATGTAGCTGTGCAAACAGAGCAAGGGAATACTGCATGGTTTAAAATCAGGAAAGGTGTGCATGTCTAAACTTTAAATCAAATCTATCTCATGAAGTCATCTTCAAGCTAAATCTTGTGTGGCTGACGTAGTAAACAATGTCTGCTTTGAACATTGTGCTCTTCAAAACCTTTAGAAACGAGAATCAAACAAATTGAGAACAGCAGTTCAAAAGATTGGAGTAAAGATTCTAAGAGTGAGCTTTTTGGGGAGGGTGGGGAGGTGTTTGGCAGCAACAACAGAGAAGAGACAGAAGAGTGGCTGCACAACTCAAAACAATAATCAATGTCACTGAGATATACACAGGTAGAAACTGTTTAAATGGTGTTTTACCGTGTATTTTCTAAAGATAAAATTTTAAAACAAGTGCTATCAAAAAGGAATTTATATTCCATCTAATTTGCCATTGAAAGAATGGCTATAGGAAAACAAATGAAAATCTAGTCACAAAAACATAAAGAAAAATTAAAAAACAAGGACTATCAAAATAAAAGTATCACAGAAAAGAAAAATAATAATGAAATACTCAAGAACCAAAATAAAGCTGTTAAATAATTTGGGGTTGAGATTCTTCTAATAGTACTGGCTACATTCCAGAGGGTTGGAGCCCCCTGCCCCACTCCAACCCTTTTTTTTTTTTTTAACATATTTCATTTCAGCAGGGACCACTAAAATTTTGTGCCCCCCCACCCAAAAAAAAAGCATTCAGCAAATTGATTTCAACTCACAGTTACCCCATATCTGGTTCTAAAAGATGCAAATCTTCACCGGAGCAGACAGCCTTTCTCTCTCTTCAAAGAAGCATTTGGTGGGTTTCAACCAATGACCTTTAACTAGCAATCCAATGCTACCTCAAAAGCACCACCGGGGCGCTTTAAGAATTAGACTAAACTACTAATTCAAGCCAAAACCAGGAAGATTTAGTTCTCATGAGATGGCCCTGGTCGACACTGGCCTTTATGAAGTGATAACTGGAAATATGGGTGTTACAGCAAAGTGTGAAGAAAACTGATGGTGCCCTGCTATCAAAAAGAATAGAAAATGGGATCTTAAAGGTTTATATTTAATTAAGAGCCACCTAAATGAGGCGTCAACCAAGTCTACATGCACAAAGCACACCAGCCCATACTATCCAAATATGACAAATAAAATCTAAATATAATAAAGGGAAAGCTATTAGAGCTTAAATTGTGAACACCCACTTTGTAGAAAGCTATGGATAAAAGTATGGGCCCAAAATTCATCTGCAAAGGAACTATTCGGATTAAGCCTCTGGCAGATCCCCTCGGACCACAGTAGAGGGGTATCAATAGCCTTGCTCTTGGACAATGGTGGGTGCTACTATGGTATGATACCTAGCCATTTGCTCTCCCTCTTGACCCACTCTGGATGTTCTACCGTTAAATGTCTATTGCTTATTTCTTGACAAAGGCTTTCCTCTGGCTTATTTTAATATTGCTGGTATGCTTTTCTTTCTTTTTTAATATTACCCTATTTGGGGTATGCTTCCCAGTTTATGAAGTACAGGTGGCATGGGTATACAGCGATAATAAAACTGGTTTAATACCTTATTAAGGATGGAAGGGAAGGGGGTATCTGAGGAGAATGGGGTGAAAATAATGGAACACAGGAGGGGGGAGGATTCAAAGCTGATTCTGTGATATATATACAGCTTTTTAAATATAGCTGAACTATGGGAAGTATATATGAATTATATCACAATAAAACTATAGGAGATGAAAAGAATTAAACTAAGGAGAAATTGCAGGTCTTTTATTTATCGCTTCATCCTTACTGTGTTCTTTCATTTAGGATCATATTACAGAACAAGCATCGTAATTTCTATTTTGAGCCAATGTGTTATGAAACCTACAAATGACTATCTTGATGAGTCCTACAGTCCAGGGGAGGGACTCTGATATAAAGGGCTCACCACATGGACCCAACAGAAATTTGAGATTTTTACGTTCTGTATAATTATCTGGGTATTAAAAACTTACTGAATAAGAGAGAAACCCTGTAAACCACAGTGGAATGGGTTATTTGGTATGAATTTTTTACTAAATACTGTATTTATTCTAAATAAATACCTTTCACAGTTCAGTCCTACCTTGAACTATAAATTCCCGGTGGCAACTCAAGTAGCTTATTTTCATGTACCCCGTTCCCATCCACCACTAAAAACCTCACCTGACTTTAAACTTCAGTGCACTTACAAAATACCCATCTGAGATTCAACAGTTTTGGGGTGGGTGTCAAGAATCTGCTTTTCAATAAACAATATTGAGGCAAGTGTTCTAAGCACTACACCTATAGAAACCTAACTCATTTATTAAAACCAAAAGTACTCAGCTCATGCACGTGTGTATCCTTATTGATGACAAAGACCTAAGTATATTCATTAATTCCTTTAATTCTTAATAGAAATTCTTATTTTTTAATCATTTTATTGGGGGCTAGTACAATTCTTATCACAATCCATACATCCATCCATTGTGTCACACACATATGTACATTTGTCGCTATCATCATTCTCAAAACATTTGCCTTCTACTTGAGCCCTTAATATCGGCTGCTCATTTTCCCCCTCCCTCCCTCCCTAGAAATTCTTATTTTATATAGAAAAATTAAGTCAAGTAACTTACCCCAGAAAACATCAATTCACGAAGTATTACACATCTTGAACATGACTTGAGTACGCAGTTTTTTGCTATTCGATTAAACAATCTAGCACTGTTGGACCATTATATCTGTTACTTCACTGTCTAATGGTAAGGCTTAAGTCCCTAGGCTGGCACATACTACTATTTATCAATTGTGCCTTTTGATCTCTTTCACTAGTTACTTCATTAAAAAGAATGAATCCCTCTCCCATCTATACAGGTTCAAGTATTAAGGTTTACCTGCAAATCCAGTCAATTTTAAAGACTCCTCCCAGCATTTTAGCACTCATTCCTGCTGGAAGAACCCAATGTATAGGAGATCCTCCATGATGTGATTCTGAAGAAAGTCTTGCAAACCCTAAGAGAATCAAATCACAACACAATATATAGATACCAATGTAACTTTTATATATAAAAATTATTTTGATATATAAACTGTCGTGATCTTACACAACACAGAATCTGATGAGTCTTGCAAACCTTAAGAGAATCAAATTATAACATGTGATGTCAATATAATATTCCATATGTCAAAATTATTGTTTTCTTACCCTGAAATTTTCCACTCTCTCTTACTGAAAATATTAAGATAACACTCCTTGCAGATCTGAAGGCAGCATTTAATTTTTTCTCATTTACGGGCAGTGTGGACCATACACCCTATATATAAAAAAAAATTTTTTTTAATCACAAATTGAAATTGACCACAAAAGTCAATGTTTTCATATTATATTTGCAAATGAGCAAGGCTACTAATTTTGGTGCCATTTAAGTAAGCCCTAACATCTTATTTATCGGCTATTATTGCAGTTAGTAACTTACAGAAAGTTTAAGAGAAATGTAGTAAATTACTACCTCTAAAAAGAATCACTAGAGCAACCAGTAAACACGCTATACTGTCAAATCTCTAGGGGTAGAATTTTTATACTAAAACTAAATACACTGCCATCTAGTCTTCCAATCACAATGATCTTCATACAGACCCTCTTAGACTATAAACTTTTATGGGAATAGACAGCTTCATTTTTCTTTTGTACAGAGTGGCTAGTGGCTTCTGAGGCTCTTGTAGTTAGCAATCTAATATCTAGTCCTTTGTGCCACTAGTCCTCCTTACAATGAAACCAATCCTCCCCACCAAATCATTTTGAAACCATAACCATTTTTATAAAATATTAAAGGTGAATCACAAATTGATCAACATTTGACTTCCTGAAAAATTATACCTCATAAATTATCCCAAATTGCTGTTTGTATATACCATAGTAAAAAGCTTCTCTAAATTTTAGAATTTATCAAATTTTTCTATGTAACTTCAAGTTTTTTATGCATCAATAGGTTTGACTCTCAAGAAGCACACAATTTTTGTTTACCTTTTCAATTACTAAAGGAATAGTTATTCATTTTTGAATCTTTGTAATCTAACTCACTTATGGAAAATAAGAACAAATGAATTAAGGCAAGACTGTAATTCAGTTGAAATCAATCTGTTTAAACTAAAATCTTTCCATTTGTACCATCTTTTAATGCATACTGTTTAAATTATGTCTAAGTCTACTCCAGCTAAAGAAAAGAATAACACAAGATTGGATATTTAGCATATGATATATACAATTTTATAGATAATCCTTGACCTCGCTAGAAATACAGAATATGATTAACTTTAGTTTTTAATTTCAAAAAATCATTAAAACCTGCAAGGACAAATAATCTAATCGATGTGAAGGAGGAGTAGTACAGATGGGGACCCAAGATCCATGTGTAGGCAACTGGACATCCCCTTACAGAAGGGTCACGGGGAGGAGACGAGCCATTCAGGGTGCAGTGTAGTAACAATGAAACACACAACTTTCCTTTAGTTCCTAAATGCTTTCCCCCCCGACTATCATGATCCCAATGCTACCTTACAAATTTGGCTAGACCAGAGGATGTACACTGGTACAGATAGGAACTGGAAACACAGGGAATCCAGGACACATGATCCCTTAAGGACCAGTGCAGAGAGTGGTGATACCAGGAGGGTGGGGTGGAAAGGGGGAACCGACTACAAGGATCTACATATAACCTCCTCCCTGGGGGATGGACAACAGAAAAGTGGGTGAAGGGAGACGTTGGACAGTGTAAGACATGACAAAATAATAATAATTTTAAAATTATCAAGGGTTCATGGGGGGGGGGCACAGGCAAGGAGGGGAAAAATGAGGAACTGATACCAAGGGCTCAAGCAGAAAGCAAATGTTTAGAGAATGATGATGGCAACAAATATACAAATGTGCTTGACACGATGGATGGATGTACGGATTGTGATAAGAATTGTATGTGCCCCCAATAAAATGATTTTTTTTAAACCCGCAAGGAAACCCATAAAACCACGAACAGAAGAGTTTTTGCACCCAAAACAATCAATTAGCAATGTACAGCTGAAGTCTTTAAGATAACTCTCCCCTTTTCCTCTAAATAAAAGAATTACCCACAAGGAAATTATTTCCTTTCATAAAAATTTAAAAGGTAGGAGCTATAAAATTAAGTCACTAATGAAGTCCATTGGCTCCAACAGAAGTTATTTTTCATAAGGGCTGTTGGGCAATTTTTCTTTCTAAACACAAAAATTACACAGATCTTTAGGTAGATAAAACCTGTGATGGACAAGATGTTACTGAATGTTCTATGGATTACGAGTTAGGCTGCCAACCTCAAGTCAGGAGTTGGAATCCACCAGTCATTCTGTGGGGGGAAAATGAGGCTTTCTGCTCCTATAGAGTTACAACTTCTAAAACCCACAGGAGTTGTACTATCTGATAGTTGTTGAGTTGAACGGCCTCGATGGCAGTGACCCAAGGATAAAAAGCAAGCACTAGTGGGAGCCCAAACCCCAGCTGCAGAGTTAACTGGTCAGATGAAAACACTGATACCCATTACCTACAGACAAGCGTCTCCAACAGCCTTACTATCAGACAGACATCAATGTAATTTTGATTGTGCTGGATCAAACTTGATACTTGGGTCAAGTGACCTCCATATTGACACAACCCGAATTTGTTCTGGGAGCAATATCTTGTGTGTTTCATGACAAAAATTTCTCCCCAGGCTTTCATTGTTTGTATTTTTATCTTTGCATTATTATTCTTTTATCCTTACCACTTTGTTTCTGTCTTGGTTTTATGGTTTCTATTGGGTTTCCCAGTTTGTGAGGCACAGAAGGGGTGGATGCACAGATGCAAGGGTTTATAGGGTATTTAGGGGTGGGAGGTGGGAGACAGGGAGGGCAAGGGAATTTGGGGAGTAAAATATGAAGTGAAAGGGAGCACTAGAACTGATTGTGATTACACAACTCATTTTAAAGGCAATTTCACCAGGCGGAAAGGATGTTCTGAAACTGTGGTAAGTACTGTACAATTCTTGATCTGATTGAAGGACTGAACTATTGAACTCTATGGTATGTGGATAAGGTGCCAATAAAACTGTATAGAAAAATAAAGCACCAATGCAAAACAAAGCCCATTGAAGCAATATACAAACACAGAAATCAACAAGCATCTTCTAAAACATAGAAATTATCATCTTTATCAATCATTCTGACACTTAAAATCATCTTTGAAAGACTTCAGGGAACGCAAACATTGTAGCCCTAAATGTTTGCCCTGTCACTAACAAACCAGATGGTAAATCTCAATGGTTTCATGACAATAGAACATGTTCTCAAGACACAATTCCAATTTTCCACTAAAATTTTTTACAATCAGGTTAATTTCAAAGAGCTAATGCTAATACCTTAGCTTTGGCAAGAGACACATTCTCATGGTTGTTACTCTTTATGAGGAAAAATCTTGCATCCTGCAGGACATATTTGAGTTTACTGGTTTGATCTGTAAAAAAGAAATCCAAATTGATTAACCTAGGCCATTATCACATAAAGGGGTACAAATTGTACTAATATTAACCCTCCACAATCCAATTAAAAACATAAAAACTCATAATTACCCACTCAACCTGAAAAGCTAAACCACAACACATAGAAATGCAAAGCTAACAAAAGACATCAACACTTTGCAGCCAGGTTAATCAAATCTAGTGATGTTCCGATATACCCGATCCATATTTAAGTACAAAAATTCCTGCACATTTTATAACATTCTATAACCTCATTTACAGATGGATCGTTAGTGCTGTAATAAATAAATATGTGAAGCTCTGATGTCACTGCTGGGTAAGTGCTGAACTGCTGCTAACCACCAAGTTGGTGGTTTAAACCCACAAGGGCAGGTATTTCATGAGAAAGATGAGGCTGCTCTCTGCTCCCTTCGAAAAGTTACAAAGCCTTAGTCACCAAAGAAAGGATCACCATTGACTCATAATGCAGTCAATGACAGTGGATTTAGAATTTAATACACATACATACATACATATGGCATGTCTGAAAACGGAATTATCCTGAAATGGCTCTTGCTCAAAGTGAACACGGAGTTATGTGATACTACAGAATTAATTCCACCCCTCCCTTAATATATCGGAACATTACTACATTAAAACCAGCTATTCATGGAAAATAGAGCAAAATAATTACTTTATGCAGCATGCAATGAAAACAATTTCAAATTTAAATGATACCTTTTCGGACAGCACGAACGGAAGATGATAATTTCTCATGCTTCTTTTCTGAACCTGTATTTAGCCAAAGTACATTTGTTCAGATTGAGCTTTAATAGAGATAAGACAAAATTTCTACAGTCTTGTCACATATAATTCTCATTCAAGACAAATTATTCTTCCGGGCGCACCCACACACACAATAAAATACTTCTCAATGTGTACGAGTGTTTTGCTTTTTTGGGGTTTTTTGTTTGTTTTTTGGTAAATATATGTACTTGAACAGTTTCTCACTCAGAAAACTAGTCACTGAATCATCATCTTCCAAGGAAAAATAAGGGGGAGAATTCCACTTAAGCAATAACAGAACAGGATTTAAAAAAAAAAAAAGCTTAGTTTCCTCTAGAAGTACTACATCAAACATGCCAAAAATCAGTACTAATGGACATCAACAAGTTCACACTAAACTACAGCCTTCACAGCAAATAACACTCAAGTCAGTCAGATACAACAAATTCATGAGAATACCTGCATATGACTCTGAGGCAGAGCTTCCACTTCTATCAAAAACAATTGGAGATATGCCTCTAGCTCGCTTCCTTTCCTTCTTTTTCTCATCTAAAAGGAATCCAAACAAGTTTTGTTTTTTTTTCAAATCACAATATAGAAACTGACACAAGTATTCAAACTAGAATATATCATTAAGTGCCTGGTTTTTGTAGTCATTAAGTTATTAGTCATTGCTTATCTTTCTATTGACCTTTCAATTTCTTCAGAATGTTTCATTTCAAAGACACTGTTCAAAAATAAGGGCATTTTGTTGTTTCTCACTTAAGTTGCAACCAAATAAACACACATGCCTGTAACTGAAATCAGGAACTTAATTATCCTGTATATAAAACCACCATCAAGTTGATTCTAATTCTATCAGCTTAAAACTGTTTTTATTCCACAAGGTTTTAATGGCTGGTTTTTTTAGATGTAGGTTACTAGGTCTTTTTTCCAAGATGCCTCTAGTTGAACTTGGCCTCAGACCATGAACACTTCAATTAGCAGCCCAGAGCATTAGCCATTTATCCCACCAGCCATTTATGCCAACAGAAGTTTTGTCTATACAGTGAAACTTGTTAGAGCCCCAAACCCTAGGAGCATGACTTGTTTTCCTGGGCCTCCCAATTTTCCACTTTGACAAACTGAGGTCTTACACTTTTATATCAGTTTTAGTGAAAAAGATGTGTTTCCTTTCTCTGGCAAATTTCTGATTTACCCTGGTTTCAGCTTTCACAGGCTTTATTACATAAAAGTGCTTTCTAAAGCAAAAAAATATCTCCAATGGAACTCACTACTTTATTTCAATAAAAATTTTGTTTCCCTTCTATGCACCAGCATCCCTTTATTTCAATAAAAATTTTGTTTCCCTTCTATGCACCAGTGTTGGTGTAAAAAAAAAAAACTATCATTCCTCATCACACTATCAAGCTCCAAATCCCATTCTATATTAACTTCTATGCTGTTTTAAAATCTTGTTTAATCCCAGAATCCAGCGCTTTGCAATAAACCCTTCAAGTGGTCAATGCTTTCTTTTGTCTCTGCTATTTTGTCTGTACAATTCCATTATTCTTGACCGTTGTTTAATGCTCCTAAAATTTCACTTGAAATTCAGACCTAACGTGTTAAAAACTATGTAGTGGCTGCTGTCGGCAGTTGGAAACAGAAGGCTTTGTGCTCTCATAAGCATTTAAAGCCGCTGAATCCAACAGGTTCTACTCTACTCCACAGGGTTGCTATGAGCTGTACTGGACCTCATGGGAGTATGTAGTTCCACAGGAAAGTAGAAATCTTCATTAAATCGAAAGCTTGGATTATTCATCACGTAAGTACCATTTCAAGACTAGTTTGGCGTTTTTAAATTGTGTGTGTGTGTGTGTGTGTGCACATGTGCACTTGCATGGCTATGTGTGTTTAACAACATATGAATAAGGCTCTCCTATGTTTATATTATTATTTTAAGTATTATCATGGTATGTCTCCTTTTCCTTGAACCTGCCTCGGACAACAAATATGAAGGGAAAAAATAAGCACTTTTATAAAAATAATAGCTAAAAAAGAATCATCAATGATCATGTTTATATATCCCCTTAAAAACAGTAAAATCTTTTTCACATGCTTCAAATACATAAAATAGCCCTGGTGGCATAGTGGTTATGTGTTGGGCTGTGATCCACAACATCAGCAGTTCAAAATCATTGGCCTGCTCTCTAGGATAAAGAAAGGGATTTCTACTCGGATAAAGTGTTAGTCTCAGAAAGTCAAAAGGGCAGTTCTACACACTCCTATAGGGTCGTTATGAGTCAGCATCCATTTAATGGCAATTGAATTTCCATTTTTTTAAAATAAATTATCCCCTTAATCTTCACAAGCTCATAGAATTTGTTAGTTTCACTTACAAATAAGGCAACTTCAGCTTAGAGCAGTGGTTGTCAACCTTCCTAATGCCATGACCCTTTAATAGAGTTCCTCATGTTGTGGTGACCCCCCCCACCCATAAAATTATTTTTGTTGCTACTTTATAACTACAATTTTGCTACTGTTATGAATTGGACGACGCCTGGGCGACCCAAAGGGGTGGCGACCCAACAGGTTGAGAACCACTGGCTTAGTGGGTGCTTAAACAATGTAGTCAGTGTCACGAAATTTCTGGGTGACAAAATCTATTTCAAAATGCAACTCCTCTGACTTAGAAGAGCAATCCTCTATTCTTATTTAACAATTAGAAAAGATGTTTTACCATTTTTTGAGGAAGATTCTGGTTTTAACCAGTTTTAAAATGGTAATCTCTACGTAGATTTAAGATTTTACTTTTATCTGTCCTTTTACAGTTCATTACTAATTGCTTCTCCACCTATGTGTACTTGGATGTTTCAACATAATAAACAAAAATCCTCATAATTGGGCCAATAAGTGGAGGGAAAGACGTGAATTTTTATGTGCACCCACAATCAACACCGATAGAAATAACAATCACAAAAATGCCTTTGCATGGGGCAAATGTGCTGCAAAAAGCACTTTAGTGTCACTCAAGACTGACCTAAGCCACAATTATTGTCACTCACTCCAAATGTCTATGAAAGGTGAACAAACTAAGACGAAAGAATTAATGCCTTTGAATTATGGTGACTGTCAGAAAAACAGGACCCTCAATGAGGTGAATTGACTCAATGGGGGAAACATTGGGTTCAAACACAGTATTTGTGAGGATGAGGTCATTTATAATCTCAAACACAGCAAAAATTATGATGCTAAACCAGGCAGTGCTGTGTGCTCTGATGAATGAGTTAAAAGCAACTCAATAGGCTCTACAACAATATACACATAAAAAGGCTTATAAAAGACTTCATCTCTAACATAGTGCTGAAAGCTAAGAGGAAAATACCATACATGGACATAATTACAATACCAAGCCTATTTAAAGGCAGTAACCATATGGAATAATGGCATTTAAAACAGCTGGGTATTGACATAAATGGATCTCGCAACTTTAAAATTTCTCTGCAGGGCAGACCATGTAAACAGAATGAAACCTTTCTCTACAAAATGACTGCAGACTTCTCTTAAGTAGAAAAAAAAAGAATTTGGTCAAATCCTAAATGTTTTTCTCACATACCTTTGTTTTGTTCAGACTACAGTCTAATATGGCAATTAACACTTTTTTTAAAAATTGATTTACAGAATCATTACGACATACCAGTGGTCTTCCAAAAGTTCATGAAAACTTCGTATTATGAAAAAATATGCAAGGATTTTAAAAACTGTACGAAAATAACTTGTATTAACTTTTGTAGTATTCCTCAGCAGGTTTTAGTAAGACATATACTAAGAAGCATAAAACAGTCTGAAAAAAGCCTCTATTTTGAGACCTCATGCCAGGGGCTTAAGTGGAGAGAAAATGTCTTGAGAATGATGAGGGCAATGAATGTACAAATGCGCTTTACACAATTGATGTGTGTATGGATTGTGATAATAGTTGTATGAGCCCCTAATAAAATGATTTTTTTTTAAAAAACCTAACAGCTAATTTATGTCATAGTTTGAGTGGAACAGTGAAATCAATGATACTTACAAACGTTTATGGGCACAATGACTCAAAAAGAAAAGTTTACAAATGGATTACTCATTTTAAGAAAGGGTGACACAATGCCCTTATCGATCTGGAACCTAAAAATTAAGTCTTGTTCATACCCTAACTGAAGAGAACGGATGACTTAATAGCAAAAACAGCTAGCACCATGGGCATCAGTATCTCAATTGGTCCTGTTTACATAATCCTGACTGAAAATAAAAGTTGGGCAAATTTTCTGCTTATAATAGGTGCCAAAGTTGTGAAGCCCAGATAAGCAACAGGAAAAGAGAACTTCCAAGGGAATAATTTAAGTAAGTGGGATTAGAATGGTGAACCATTTCTTGGAAGAACTGTTAACGGGAGAAAATATGGCTTTACCAACACAATCCTGGAGACAAATAATGCCTACCAAGTTGTGGAGTAGGCCAGTAAAAACAAAAGCTGGTTAGTCAAGATCTAAGTAATGGCAACAGTTATTTTTGAATGGTCAAAGCATTTTGCTAGTTGACTTTCTGAAAGAGCAAAGAAAGATTCTATCTCCTTATTAATGTGTTTTGAGAACATTAGCCAAAGTTTTAGCAGCAAAACACCAAGGAAAGCTTCACCAGAGGGACTCTTGCCACCACAATGCTCCTGCTTATTCTGCTCATCAATCACAGACAATTCTCAAGAAACTCACTGAGAAATTTGTAAGTAGGAATGAAACTCTTAAGGACTTTACATTAAAAACCTGAAATACATTTCCTTATAGAGAAACAATGGATGAGACTTGGATGCAATTTATACTAATGTACAGCTAGGAAATGCCGTTGAGGTAAACCTAAATATTTATGTGTATTTATTATAATACTTAACAATTAACAATCATACTAACATCCCTTCAATGTTCTCAAAAGTTTGTAACTCAAATTTAAACACACTCAAGGTCAATTTTTACATATAAAAAGTAGTACCTGATCCATCTGTGCCTGAACCAGATCGGACAGATCCATCTGTGAAGGAAACAGATTCAGAATCTGAGTCGCTAGCCTCACTTCGAGTGTCATAATCATTTCCCTCCTCCTTCTGGTCTCTCTCATCCTGTTCATATTCTTCTTCCTCCTCCTCCTCCTCTTCTTCCTCTTCCTCCTCCTCCTCTCCATCTTCATCGACCTCATCTTCCTCTACATCGTCTTCGACCTCTTCATCTTCTTCCACATCTTCTTCCACTCCTTCCTCCTCATTCTCCGTGTTGTTGCCTTGCTCATCAGAAGAGCCACTGCTGCCAGTCTCATGATCGGAAACATATTCTTCAGAGTTCACCTCTTCCTTAGAAGACTGGCTGGATCTGCTTGCTCGTCTATCCACATCAAGCCCAATTCTCTGATGTTTAAAGAAAAAGGGAATCAGCAGTCACATAACAGACAAGGTAGGGTGAATAAATAGTTCTAAAAGCCTCAAAAAGAATGGCTTTCTGTTTTATATCTGCAATAACATTTACTACCTCAGGATCATCTGGTGTGGAAGATTTGGCCCTCCTTTCAGGGTCCCTTTTCCTGAGACAAGTCTTTTCAGGTTGACTCTTATAGGGCTCTCTGGAGGCGCTACTTGACAAACGGATCTTCCGATCAGCATCTAGGCGTTTGTTTCTTTCAGACCTTTGGTATTCCTCATTTTTATACTCTGTGACCGACTTTCCTTTTGTACTAATTATTCTCTTGTTATTGCTCACAGACGAGCTCAGTGGCTTTGAAATCAACTGTCTTGAATGAACAGAAGGCTTTTGTCGTTTGCTGTCAGTAGATTCCATTCGGTCACTTTTTCTTTTTGATCCTTAAAAATATGATTTTAAAAAAAAGAAATAAAATGTTTGTGGTATTCTGTTTATCTAATACAAAAGCTAGTCACTTTCTTCAACAATCAAATCTCTTTCATTTACATTGTTGCTATTTTAGCAAAGCAATGAAAACTTTACATACCCTTTTTCTCATTTTTATCTTGTTCACTTTCTGGGTTATACAGCTCATCATCTTGCTCTGGTACTTCAGTCAAAATATCATCAAGAACATTAAGCTCCCCATCTGAAAAGAAAACATTAAAATTTTAAGATATTTAGAAAATCATTTTTTAAATATTTACTATGTTGAGGCCATGTCAGAGCATAACCCTCAAAGAGTCTGTGTTTGGATCAAGACACTCCAGCTGGTACAGAGCTTTGGTCTACAAAGTCAGGAATATATAACCCCATTTGAGTTATCATGGCTGCATATTCCCTACAAGATACTTACCGTTCACAATGAGCTTACATAATCAAACGTGTCACCAGTAATAGGGACAAATCAACAAAATGGGAGAACAAAACAGTGCTTGTGTGGTACCTTAGGGAAATTTTTTAAATGTTTAATCTAGTCACAGGATATCCTATGCTCAAACTAAAGTGTATTCTCCACATATGCCCAGGACTAAAGAACTATTCCAGATTAAAGAATATGTAAAAATACAAAACAAAGGAATGTAGGGCAGGATCTGGGATATAATTGGGAAAATTGGCAGATCTGAACTAAGTTTGTCGATTATAGCATGCATTCTAATGTTCGTTCCTAAAATTTTGATAATAATATGGTTAAGTTAAAAAGACCTTATTTTTTTTAAAAAATGAGTACATAAATATTTAGGCGCAAAGGGCCATCATGTCTGCATCTGCCTAAAAATTCAGGGAGAAAAAGTTATGCATGTTAAGTGTGTGTGTGTGTGTGTGTGTGTGTGTGTATATATAAACTGAGAGAAAACACAAATGTAAAAAAAATGCAGTATTTGGATAATGTGTGATCCAAGGGGAAAAGAAATTGTTTTTACTATTGTACCCATTCTGCATGGGTAAGAGGGTCAATATGAAAATTAAAGAAAAAAAACTATTGATGTGTTCTCTCTGCCACCAATTTGATGCTGACTCACAGCAACCCGATAGGACAGTGAACTAACTGCCTCTGAGTTTCCAAGACAATAACTCTTTAAGGGAATAGAGAGTTCTATCTTTCTCCCTTGGAGCTGGCTGATGGTTTCAAACTGCTGACCTTGCAGTTATGTGTGCAATGAGTAACCATTATGCCTCCAGAGCTCCCTAGTGATGAGCCTGGTACACAAACAAACAAGTTTGTAAGATACTGGTATGGGCTGTAAATGTGTAACTAGCCATAGGAAGTGAGTTGTGACTATATCAACATATTCAATGAGCCTAACTTAAAATTCACTGCTACCCCCAAATGCTCACCCCGCCATCAACTCCAAAATAAAAAAGTGAATATTTAAATATGTGCAAATATCTACCACTTTGACCTGATTTTCTTTTTGCTAATGCACTAAAGTTAAGATGAAATGTTTTTAATTCTTAAGTACTTACTCTTATTATCAAAAATATTTCCAAATTGAAGACATGGCAAAGAAGTGCCCAAAACTGATGATGGCAAAATTTCAATAGGGCTCCAGGGTAACACCAAAGCCTGGTTAGAGCAATTATTAATATGGGGTCTACAAACTCGTCAGTGGGGTTTGAGATCTGCCAACTCCTACAATTAATTGCTAGTACATTTGCATGTACTTTTACCAGTTCATCAAAGGGATATACAATAGTCAACCAAACTGAGATAGACAAAACATACCTTAAATAGCAATGTTCAAACAAAAGAGAATTCAAGGAAATCACCATTTCAAGATAAAAACTTATGGGTAATCAGTATTAACATGCTGTTAGGTTCCACCAATGAGATGGAAGAACTTTCTGTATTTAAAATGTAGAAAAGTCCTGATTAAACATTAAAAGACAAATTTCTCCTAGAAAGTGAAAATACAAAAAAGCCTAAGTAGAAAACTATAAAGAAAATTATAAAAATACAGAAAATAAGACCACAAATGCAGGTTAGTCAAGGAAAGAAACAGCAAAGTATAGACAGCAATTTTTATTTTCCCAAGATATGGATAAGCTGGGCAAATCCCCAAAGAGCTCAGTACCACAAATATGCCATTAAATAAACAATGAACTAGACAAATCTTTTCCTGAATCACTAGCATGGTATTAGAAATACCTGAGCAAAAGGCTCAACATTTATGTATTATATACTTTGCATATATATGTATATGTATATATATACACACACACATAGCATTGCAGAATTTTACATGTTAAATTACAGATATCCCTAATTCACGTTTTCCCTTAGCAAAGAAATGAGACCATTGTCTGAACAAGCTTTAATATTTATATAAACCAAATTCAAAAATTAGTTTTGGAAACATGTAAACCTTTCAACACAACGAATAACAGCCTATTCTTACCACAACACCTTTCATGATACACAGTGAAAAGGTTAAAGTTGTAAGAATTTTGTCTTGCCTGGATATACAATCACTGCTCATGGCAACAAGAGTCAAGAGCAAATGATACATTATATTGGGCAAATCTGCTGCACGAGATCTGTTTAGAGTATTGAAAAGCAAAGATACTACTTTGAGGACTAAGTGCACTTTATTTTTAATGGTCTCATATATAGGTGAGTTGACATTGAGTAAGGAAGACCAAAGGAGGACGCATTTTTGAGTTGAAGGTACCAAGGACTGTGAAAAGGACAAAAAAAATCTGTCTGCAGCGAGAGTGCTCCTTAGAGGCAAGGATGGCTAGACTACATATTTTAGACCAGAACCTGGAGGACACATCAAGCTTGGTATAAAGTGAAGCAGAGAAAAAAGAAGTCCTATGGGAGATGGATTGACATGCAGCTCCAATAATGGGTCCAAGAACAGGTACAATTATGAGGATGGTGCAGAACTGGGTCATGTTTTCTTCTGTTGTGCACAAGGTTGCTGTGGATTAGAACCAGTTCAATGGCACCTAACAACAACAATCTTAAAGTTCATGGGCTAAATGCTGCCAATGGCTCCCCCTCACTCTTTTTTGAGGGAGGGGGAGATATATTGGCCCAAATTAAGAATGAGTTTTACATCTTTAAGGTTGTTTTTATTTAAATAAGATGAAACAAAGATTTTATGTGACCCAAAGTCTAAAATATTTAGGCCTTTTACACACAGTTTATTAACCTGCCATAAATTATCCTATGTTCTTACTTACTTTCATCTCTGAAAGTACGTATGTATTCACTGAAATATAACAATATAGGGGAAAGATATTTGGTTTGGAATATAAGGAATCCAGGTCACTCCCAAGTAATTGGGTATCTTCAGGAAAGTTGAGTCTTATTCAATTCCAGTTTCACTACAAGACATTTATAAAAAGATAAGTATTTATGAACAGGAAAGGAGAGTGGTAAACTCATCATCTCCTGATGAGTTACTTAACCTACCTCTATCAGATTACAATAAACCCTGCCACGTCTTTTGTGGATGGCTAAAGAATTTTGCACTGGTATACATGCTAGAGAGAATTTTAGTGTCCTTCAGGGCCTCTAATTCTGCTCCTTTTAAATAGTAAATTTGGGGAACAGAAAATTCTGAAGGGGAAAAAAATCAGGGCTGTAGGGTAGATGGGGTATGGTTTCCCAGAGAAATTCTTACACAGCTCGTTATCCTGAAAGGATGAGCAGATGCAGGCAGAGAGAGCAGTGTCTTGATGGGGGGGAATCTGCAGAACTTTCCTGCCTTTTTCTGTTTTCAATATTCTGGAAATGTCTTCATAAGTCTCTGTGATCATCCAATGTCCTCCAAGAATATATATAAAGATCACAAGATCAGCCCTCTGGAATTCCAAAAAACAGCCATCATGAACTTCTGAGCTGACCTCTCTGCCTGCCAGCAGGCATACTACAGTCAGTTTTGATAAGACCCCCTCCCCTTTTTGGGGGGTAGGCCCTTTAAGAGGTGGCTAAAAGAGTCCTGGTGGTTTAGTGGTAATGTGGTGTTGCTGCTAACTTCAAGGTCGGAAGTTCAAAACTATCAACCACTCAGAGGTACAAAGATGGGGCTTTCTACTCCTGTAGAGTTGCAATCTCAGAAACTCAAAGGGTCAGTCTACCTTGTTCCTATAAGGTTGCTATGAGTCGGCATCAACTTGACGGCATTGAGTTTGGTTTGATTTTCTGGAACAAAATTTCCTGAAATCTCTTTTCTGATATTTTGTAAACCATCCTCTCAGTTATTTTTCTGTCATTCCTCTAAATAAAATTGACTTTTATTTCCTATCTCACTCAAATTTCGTCTTCCACACTATACACAAATGAGGTCTAAGGATTTAAAAAATGCCAGTTGACTCCAACTCAGTGACCCTATAGGGCAGCGGTTTTCAACTGCTGGGTCGCGACCCCTTCACAGGGGTCACCCAATTCATAACAGTAGCAAAATCACAGTTACGATTAGCAATGAAAATAATGTTATGGTTGGGGGAGTCACCACAACATGAGGAACGGTATGAAAGGGTCTCAGTATTAGGAAGGTTGAGAACCACTGCTATAGGTAAAGTAAAATTGCTCCTGTAGGTTTCCAAGGCTGAAAATAAAGAAGCTGTTGGGTTTGAACCACTGACTTACAGTTAGCTCAAGGCATAACCCACACGTCAGTGCTCCTTTGATATAAAAGATAGCATATTTAATTGTCCATCCTACTTCTATCATAAACATAAAATGTTCCTTTTACAAGATGGTAAAACAAATATAGTAAGTTCTCAACTGTATACTCTATGCGTCATAAAGCACTAACTAAATGGACCAGGATCATCAATTTTATCCTAAAATAACTTATGTGAAGACTAAATATACATGTGTATATGTGTGTGTACATACACACGTAAAACTTAAAATGAAAAACTATGAGGTTTGACTATCATACAAATGCAGATCATATAATAATCATGTATTCAGGGCATTAAGACCCAACATAAAAGGAGTTGTAGTGGCACTATGGGTCACACACTGGGCTACTAACCAAAAGACCAGCAGTTTGAAACCATCAGCTGCACCACTAATGAAAGTTGAGACTTTCTACTCCTTTAAAGATTGAGAATCTCAGAAACCCACAGGAATAGTTCTATTCTAGGGTTGCTATGAACAGGGATCAACAAGATGGCAGAGAGAAAAAATTAACAGCACTCCTGGAACTTTGTGAACAAGATACACTTCTGGCCCTCATGGACCTTCCAGTCTAGTAGTGTCATTTCTGAAAGGTGTAACTGTTATACTCCGGGTGCCTTAATAATTAAGTTCTTCAGAGAAAGCTTGGTAAGAGTTTAAAAAATAAAATTTACAAGGGGTTTGTTTTTAACACTAGAAAAGATGTTTATGAGGGGAGCTTCAAAAAGTTAATGGAAAAATTGTTATCTTTTCATTCCATTTTTGCAAAAACTTTTGAAGCCCCCTATTTACTTACTTCTTGTTTAAAAACACTGAATTTAACAATGGTATATTTCTTTCCTTTTTTTTTCCAAATCCAGTTTTTTGAATTAACACAGGAATCAGAAGGATTTGATCAGTTATATAGAAACCTGTTCAATCATATAAGTTCAGTTTCTTAGAGATTACAATTATTAAAGAAATAGCGAATATTTAAAGTCCAAAACTCCCAAGAAATCTGATTAAGCCTTTCAACTGTTTCAAACAGGTCATTTCCCAGTTGGACCTACTGAGATCTTGCACTTCCACCTATACATTGAACTAGAATTTACATTTTTAAACAAGATCTCCAGGTCTTTCTTCTATATGCATAAGCACAGTAAAAATCTGGATCCACTCTAAACTCACTGCCATCCAGTCAATTCCAACTCATAACGGCCATGTATGACATTGTAGTATTAACACCACCACCACCACCCCTGTGACTTTCTCAGGCTGTCATTCCTTCCAGGGGTCTTTCTCCAGCAGAGTTGGTTAGTGGTGTCTAACGGCTGACCTTGAGGTTAGCAGCCCAGAGTCTTGACTATACCACCAGGGCTCCTAAGAATCTGGGAAGAGCTACAGAAACCTTTGGGGATACTGTTAAAATGTAAATTCTGATTCAATGTATCTGGTGTGGAACAGATTCCCTGCAGAGGGTAGAACAAGAATGAACCTGTTTTAAAAAACCTTGCTTCCCACTATTCCCAAATCATCTGTTAGGAGGAGGAAACAAGTATCCATTCTACTTCTAGATTCTTTGGTAAGTAACATAGATCAAGTATATAAGAGGCTCTGTACCTCAGCTTCCCTATTTGTAAAGTGGGTTATTCCAGAACTTTTCCTCTTCCAACTTTAAATAAGCAATTCCTGTAGAAGTTGGGTAATTTACTAATGTGATATTACTACTTTCCATTAACAACTATTAACTCTACATATTTGGGCCCCCATTTCATCTCAAAACCCATTTGTAAAACATTCCAACTTCCTGTCCACCCAACAAAGAATTCAAATACTGAATTTTACACATTTTGTATTTGGTTTATCTTACCCTATCACAACCACACTCATATACAGCTCATAAACTGACACAGCAAATGTTGACTGAATTAATTCTTCCTGCTTAAACAAGAATCAACCCTGATGAAATCCATAACTTTTCTCCTCTGAAACTCCAATCTATTTAGCATACAAATTTTATTCTCTTCCTAGTCTAACGCAGGGAAAAAGAACACTGAAAAGATATGGTAGACAAGAATTTTATAAAACCTCTTAAATGAGTTGGACCTTCGATTACAAATACAATTTGTGAAGAGTAAGACAAAAGTGTTTTGTAAAGGCCACCCTGCAGCAGTATGTAACACTGTCATGAAGTAGTGACTTAGGCCAGAAAGCCCAGAGCAGATTTTTGCATCTGGATATGCAGCGTGACTGGGGAAGGGTGGCAAAACCAAAAGCTTTTGGGTAGAAACTATGATTTTATGAACTGTTATATATAGATGTTGCTATTTAATCACATGACTACCTGCCTTACTATCTCCATTTTAAAGTCAAAATCAACGATAAGGCTCCTAGAAACTAGTTTGTTCCAGGCTCCAACTAAAACTTGAATCAAATCTGTCTGCCTCCCCACATCCATACTTTTTGGATTATGGGTTACTATTTCAAAATAATCAAATTTCCTCTCAAAGCATATGAAATGGGGGAAAGGCGGGAAAATATGAGGAGCTAACACCATGGGCTCAATAGAAAGTGAATGTTTAGAAATTACTGATGGCAATATATGTAAAAAAATGCTTGATGTATAGATTGGTAAACTGTAAGAACCCCAATAAAATGATCTTTTAATAAAACATAAACAAACCATACATGAAAAGGATACAAAATTCAGTCGTGTATTAAAATGCTTTCAACACTTAGCACTGTGATTTTAAGATATCTTTACACACATACCCGCCACCACCAATTTAACTGCAGTGGGACTCTTGGATAATCTGATTTGGTACAAGGCTGGCTCAGTTTGTGTTTTGAAGTGTATTTGGTCCCGCCGTGAGGAGGAAAAAGATCACTGAGATATGAAGACTCTGGACTAAGGAACAAGAATATTAAGAGGGTCAGCAAGCCTAAAGTGTGTTTAACTCAAATCAATTTTGAAAAGCCCACACTCCAAATAATTAACTACACTGTAAATTATTACACATCACCAGTTGTGTCCCATTTTCATCAGTTATAATCCTTCCAAATTTAGAAAGTGAAAGACTCCTGTCTAAAATGCTACATACAGGATCTACATCAACACTTCCAGGACCTAGGGTGGTCAATATATCAAAAGGCATTCCTTTCTTTAAACATCTTTTCTTAAAATTTTATATTTCCCATACATTTTTTTCCCCCGTACTCTCCACAATTTCCACCTACGTATTTGGTTCCTGGTTGTGCCCTCTCGGATCTACACACAGCGTTTCTATCAAAATAACATCGAGGGTTTATTTGCCAAGACTTAAATCCTAATGATCTTTTCTTCCCCCTAAAAAAATCCTACTTCCCAAATAGGTACAAAACGGGCACTAATCATTGTTTAATTAACACGAACTCCCTGAAATTAACTGTAGATCTCTCGGGATTGGTAATTCACGTGCACTTCTAAAATTGCTCATTCGCTACATTGCCGGTTCTGATAAGGGCATTCAGGATTGTAGACATTTCACCTAAAAACCTGCGCATTACACCCGCATAGTCCTACTAGGAAATGAGCATTTGGGGGCCTGCAATTCCTTGCAGGCCCACACATTTCAACTACGCCCAACACAGCTAATTTGAAAAAGGAGAATCGGAATCCAAGAAAACCCCTAGGCGTATCAGGCCACACGGAGACTGCGGACGAAAGGGCAGGCCTGGCCCTTTCAATGTGTCCAAACGTCGGAGGCAGGCTCCGGCGACGCGCGCGCGGGTTAACCTCCCCGCCCCCCGCCCCCGCAACGACCAAGGCCCCGGGGTCCCCGGCCCGCGCCGCGCCTCCGCCCGCCACGTCTCCGAACTAACCTTTCTCCTCCCGGCTGTCGGCTGCCATTGCTCCCCTCTTGTTTCCGCTGCTGCTACTGCGGCTGCCGCCTCTTCGACGTGATTCGCGCGGGCGCCACAACAGTAGCACGGGCCCGTCCGTCGGTCAGTCCGCCAGGCCGCGCGCTTCTCACCTAGTGTCTACTGCTCACCCTTCCTCTCCCTTTTACCTTCCTCTCCGCTCACTCCAGGCGCCTGCGGCCTGGACCCAGGCTTCCCAATTGGGCTTCGGGGCGGGAGGGGCACACGGGAGGGAAGGGAACAGATGGCGGCTGCGGGCGGTGCTAAAATGGAGCCTGCTTCCTGCGTGAAACAATCCCGCTCCCACAATGCCCTGCGCTGTTTACGCTTCGTTCCTCTCTGGGAACGTCACAGTGCGGACAGGGCGAAACGGGGCGGAGGGAAGCATCGTGACGTCATCGCGTCGCCCCGCCCCCCCGCCGCGTCCCCGGCCTCCGGTTACCCGGGTTATAGAGGCTGCGTCGCGCGGTTGCGCAGTTTCACGGGTGGACCCTCGCCAAGCGCTCGGTTGAGACTGGCTGGCTGAGTCGCGTGTGGGCGTATTCTTTCCGAGTCGCTCCTCGGTACTCGTGATTTCGTGCTGGAAAACCCAGTCTGGAGAGCAGCTCCTGACCACTTTCTCCATGTGAAAGGTTTTTAGGACCCCAGGCTCACCCAAGGCAACACTGGATGTAATTTGGCAGAAGCATATTTCGATTTTTTTTTTGGTTTGGGGTAAGGAATTACATTGTATTGTATAACTTTGTAATGCACAGAACAGATCTAGTTTCGATCGTTGTCGAGGCTGCGGTACACAGTGAATTCCAGTCATTTGGAACTACAAGGAGGATCGGAAATTACTTCGCTAGAGAATGTAGTAAAACGTGTAGAAGAAACTTTCATAAGTCTAAAGGAGTGAAAATACAATTGGAGTTCCTAGTGAAGTAAGCTTAAACGGTGATCTGGAAAGAAAAGAGTAGCACCCTTGAAAACCTCATCAGTCGCGGCTCAATGCTGACATCCACGCGGTCCCTAGGAGTCAGAATTATTTGTGAGACACTGATTTGGTTTTTCAGAGGAAAATGAGGCTTTCTACTCCCATTAAGATTTACAGTCTCTGAAACCCACAGGGCAGTTCTACTTTATAGGGTTGCTATGAGTCAGATTTGACTCAGTGGCAACGAGTTTTTTTTTTAATAGTTTTATTGGCATTTAATTCATATATCATACAATTTAATAGTTCGATCATATTCAGAAGAGTTGGGCATTCACATCACAATCAGTTTCAGCACATTTTCTTCTTTCTCATACTCACAGCTGTTAGCTCCCTATTTCCCCATCCTCCCTTGCCACACCCATAGGTAATTCTTTTTTTTTTTTTTTTCTTTTAAAAAAATCATTTTATTTGGGGCTCATACAACTGTTATCCCAATCCATACACACATCAATTGTGTAAAGCGCATTTGTACATCGTTTCTCAAGGCAACGAGTTTTATTTTCAGTTTTGTTTGGTTTGATTTAGTGAAAGCACAGAGGAAGACAAGTAGTCCGTCCAGAGTATGTTACTTGATGCCCATGTAAGGAATCACGATCAACCTCAGGGCACCAGTGGTGGTTCAATGGTAGAATGTTTGTCTTCCATGCATGAGAGCCAGGCTTGAATGCTGGTTAATGCACCTCACATACAGACACCACCTGTCTGTCGGTGGAGGTTTGCCTGTTGTGGCACTGTAGGGTAAACACTGGATTGCTGACTGCAAATCACCAGCTGCTTCTGGGGAGAAAGATGGTTACAGCCCCAGAAACCTAATACAGGATCACTATGGGCTGGAATCAGCTTTATTGCAGTAGACTTTGGTTTGTTTGTTGGTTTGGGGGTATGATATTGTGCAGGTTTCTGTGGAGGTTCCAGACTAAAATAGACTAGAAAGAAAATCCTGGTGAGCTATGTCAATCAATGATCTGACCCTGGTGTGCATGGATTGCTATGAGTTCAGGGGCCAACTAAAGAGAGTTAACAGTTTTTAGTATTTTTGTAAATGGGAATTGAAAACAATCTCAAAGAATTGCTGTAATATTTAAAAGGATTAAAAGAGTTCAATTCGGAAAAGAGTACAATTCATACGCTGTAACTATTGCTATTATTTCTGTAGGTTAGGAAAGATTACATATTTAGGAGGATAGGACTACCAAGTATTGTTTATGAACAGGTGAGGTTAACTTAACCAGAATATATAGAGCTAAAGTGCTCTAGATACACGTCGGCTGCAAAAAAATTGAATGTAGATTTCCTGAGTAAAAAAAATGGGTGAAATGAAAACATACAGCCAAAAATCCTTTCCAGACTTCAGGGATCATCACACTAATGTTTTGGGGTTTTTTTTAAAATCCTAATACAACTTCTATAGGGGCTAGTTCCTTTTAAACCAGTGGTAATTGTGAATTAACAGAACTGAGCACCAAAAGTGCCCTGCAATGATTACCAGACTTCAACTACTGGAAAGCTGAGATCAGAATAGAGAACTAGAAGTTAAAAGCTAAGAAAGAACAATGCCACAGGAGTTTAAAAGTCTGGCCCCCCCCAAAAAAATAAATAAAAATAAAAAAGTCTGGCCCTGCTGCGGACAGACCACGTCGCCACCCCCACCTTATCTCTGATATCCAGTTGAGTCATCAGAAGACCATAACATAAAAGTAAGGCTCTTGGGCCTGGAGTAAAATCTAATCATGATCCGCACTACCACAGATTAAAAACATGGCCCAGCAAAATATACAAAGGAAAGAGTTTTCAGGTTGGGTCTAACCAAAACCACACCAGACCTCAGTGAACTGCTGCAGCCTAGCCCCAGAGAGGCTACATAGCTTGTTATTCATTGCAAAACTCACTGCACTAAATTAACAGGTAACCAGATTTCAGGATGTGCTTTAACACACTCAGCCCAGCCTTTGCTGTTCCTTTCAGAAGTTAGGGATTTATGCTATCACTTCAATACATTAAGAATGAAAGTAAAATGAATAGCTTGTGACTGTAAACCAGGATTTATACTCTGCTGGGTAAGGAATGTGTCCCCACGCCAGCTTAGAGAAGCTGCAGAAAGGGAAGCCTCAGCCCATGTTCCCTATGAGAAATTAAGGTGGGCAGGACAGAACAGAGTAGAGGCTGAAGGCTCCCCACTTCCCACATTCTAAGCTAAGCTGACCTTGGAAGAAAATGTTTGCAAACCAATATGTGTGCTAACCCTTACAATACCTGCACGTCTTATTATTGATTAAACCTGAAATATTTCAAGATGTTCCTTCTCTATAAAATAAATGGTGTTCCAACTCATTCCTCCAGCAACTGCACTTGGCAATCAGTCCTAAGGGTACTCACAGCTCAGGCACCATGACCTGAGATATCAAGAACTAAGAAAATGAAGCCTATTCTTTGAGTCCTGAGAAAAGGTAAAAATGAACTGCCAGCTGCATTGAAGAAGATGTAATGCTTCTTAGCTAAATGCACCTGCAAAAAAGATTCAAAATGGTTTTATTCCTTTCCAAGACTTCCTTTTTGTCTTTGTATAAAAAGCTTGGTTTTCCTTAGTTCAGGTAGATGGTTTTAGAAAAACTGAATCCATGTCTCCTTTGCCTAATCGATTAAGCAAACAAAAGCCTATATTTCTCCTTTCCAAAAGCTTATTTCAGAGTGTTTGGGTTACTTAATCTGATGGCCAGCAGTAAGTCTGGATTTTGCAATAACATCACCACTTTAAAAAGGGTTAAAAAAGCACCCTGGATTTTCCCAGAACTTCACCTATTATGTTAAAAACTATGTCCACTAAAGTTGAGGTGTCACTGGGCATGCAAACAGTTAAGTGATCAGCTACTACCATTACATTTTGGTTCAAATGCCAACAAGAAATAAAAAGACCAGGAAAAAAAGACTAATCTGGCGGTTTCTCGGAGCCTGCCTGGGGGCTCAAGATGCCCCCATCCTTCTCTGCTCTCCCTTCCTCCATAAAGCCTTTCTCAACTTAAAAACATCTGCCTCAGGCACAGCCAAGAAAACCCTGTGGAGTGCTATCACACCCTGCCACACACGGGCTGCCAAAAGTTGGCATTGACTCGATCCCAACTTTTCTACAAAAGTTTAAGTGATCAGCATTCCTCTGACTGCAACTTCATGAGACGGAACTGTCCAGCTAAATGGTTCTCAAATTCCTAACCCAGGAAACTGTTAAGACACAGTAATTAAGGATTTCTTTTAAGCCTTTAAATTCTGGCATATTTTCGTTACATAGCAAGAGATAACTAATACACAATGAATATGTAGTTGTATGCCTCAACAAATTAAACTCACTGCTGTGTTGTCATAACTATTATTCTCCACTTTTATGTCTCTAGGTTCTAATATCTATTGCGGTGGATACACCGAACTCACCGACAAAATCTGTGATTAAAGGGTCTATTAAGGAAGTTAACAGTTGTAATACAAGTGGGGAATGTTCAGAGTAGAGTTGTCCATCATGACATGTTACAAAGTTCTTTCAGATTTGCTAATAGATGCCCTAAGGACATAGCACGCTCCTGTCAACCTCAACACACAGACATTTGCTCAAGCTTTGGGGGTCAGCAAACTCAGATCCCCGAATTAAGTGCCCAGAGGCATCCCATTCCACAAGCCAGCCTCTTGCATGAAAGCACTTAGCTTCACTTGCTCCATGGGCTGGTGAGTCCTCCATCTCCGGCTCCTGGCTCTGGAGCTGCTGCTGCTCTGATGTCTTAGCTGTCTTCTGGATCTAGGAGGCTCACTGTGCAGAGCTCAGGTCCAGCGGATGCTGCTCCCCAACGAACTCTCGCTGGTAATGAGATCCCTCCCCTTGCTTCTCAGAGGGTTTATTTTATGTGCAGCAGGATAGCATTTCAGGAACTGCAGATCCCAGTTACAGGTGAAGCCTACCAGCTCCTACTATCACCATCCCCACCCCACCCCTACTTCTTACCAGGTCCATGCAGGCAAAAGTTGCTTGGTGGGAGTTAAAGACTTTGGCTAGAAGAGCCTCATTAAATAATTTACTGCCATGAAACTGTCATCAAGTCTCTTCCGATTCATAGTGACTCTATATAGAATTTCCATAGCTAAAACTCTTCTCAGGAGCACCTGGTGGGTTTGACCTCCTGACCCTGCAGTTAGCAGCCCAGTGCCTAACTCACAGCACCCCCAGGTGTTCAACAAATGGTTAGAATATGCTATTTTAACACATTTACAATAGGATGAAAAACATAAAATACTTGGGAACACAAGTATC